CGCTGACGGCTGAGGTGTATCGCACGGCGGCAGTTCCTCCCATCTCGCGCCGAGCAGCTGAGCGTGTAGATCCGTCCAACAAATGGGTCGCACAAAGAGCGATGTGCCGGCGTGTTGCTGGAAGATATCGTAGAGCGAGTTCTTTGCGGGCCGGTAGATGCGCTGCGGACGCCTTTTTCGCGGGGCGACGATGGGCGCCTGTGAAGTGCAGGGCGTTGTGTCCAGTGATACACCGTTAGCGTTACCGTTGCGCGACGGTGAAGTCGAAGAGATAGCAGAAGAAGATTGCGAAGTCGCCATATCCACCAAACTGCGCAGCTGTCCGATGAAGCTGCCGTTGCCGAATAAAGAACTGTCGCGAAGGGGGGTTGATTAGCGCTGCGTGTAAATGGGTTGTGTTGGTTGGGGGGAGGAAGGATATCGTTGATGTCAGAGGAAAAAGAACAGAAGAATAGCGTAAACTTACTCAAATGCAAGCATCCGATGATTGAATAGTCGATCTGTATTTGCCTCCCTTTGGATGACTCTTTCAGCGCTTGTTGGTTGCCTGAAGCCAGATGCTTCTCTCGAGTCTTTGTTGTAGAGCGAGCCTTGGTTCTGCGACGCGCCCTTAACGATTCCCTGTTTATCTCCAGTCTTTTCCAGTGACAAGCTCTCCGCTAGCGTCTGGCACGAGCGTCGCCCTTGTCTTTTTGACAGAAAAAGTAAAAAAAAGGGGAGATCCTTAGTGTCCAATAGGAAATGAGCAAAAAGAAGAACAAGGCAACTCTTGTTAAAAAGTAGACTCTTCAGTGAAAGAGAAAAAGAAGGTGGAAGGAGGGGAGAGGAGAGGAGAGACGGGAGGGAGGAAATATCGGTGACACTGAATGAATCACACTTAGGGCGTGAAACCAAGGCAAGGCAAGGCAAGGCAAGGCAAGGCTTCTTTTTTTCACTCTTAGGTATGAGTTGTTAGTGGATACGACCTGCATCTGCACCAGGAAGAATCTGCACGAGGGACGAGGGAAAAAGCGCGTCGCCACCGTGATTCGTCGCGGAGCTAATCGGCGCGAATGAGTAGCGAGTTCACGTGAGCAGCCATCCCTCGCATTAGGCAGCCATAAAGGGAGGCGCATGTGCTGCGCCACATCATCATTTGTAGCCTGATGGACAATCCACCGATTAAGGCATCAACTTTGCTCTGGGTGCCAGCCAGCCTTGCCCCACATCAATCCAGCCCGTGAGTGAGCTTGGTGAGCTCAGGTTGGTGTAGCCCCGCCGGTGACGAAGCGAAGCGCAACTCAGCATCAATCAGCCCGTATCTTGCGCCGATTTGTCCATTTCCCTCCCAAGCAGCTTTGATATACTGGAATTGGTCTGATAATTGCTCTTCAAGATGCCGGTATGTCCAAACCAAACACCCAAACTTCACAAATAACTACACAAACACACTCCACCATCTCCTATTGCATCACCGCATCTCACGATATATCAACCAAGCTAACAATAACAACCTCTCTAGGCATACAACTCCGTTTTCAACAATGATCCCAACATCCCCCGCATAATCGGCAACTTCCCTCTCCTCCCTCTCCGTACCAAGACCAGAGGCCCTGCCTACACCCTGCCCAACCCCTCGCCGCCTCTGCCGGCCAACGAGTCTCCCGACCCCGACAGCGAGAGCTACGACATCCTCGACGAGGTCCTCGCCCTCTTCCGCGCCAACACATTCTTCCGAAACTTTGAGATCCAAGGCCCCGCCGATCGTCTGCTTGTGTATGGAATCTGGTTTGTCAGCGATTGCCTGACAAAGATCCGACCTCAGGCTTCTCTGCGAGATGCCCAGAAGGATGTTTTGAACTTGGCGCTTGACCTTAACTTTGCTATTCCTGGAGACCCTGCATGGCCTCTCAACCAGGTATGTTTTACCAAACTCAAACTCGAACAGCACGACGAATTGGCCGGTTTACTAATGTTTGAGTGTAGATGTACGAGCCCCCTAGGGACAGACAAGAAGCGGAGCAGCTTAAGCAATATATGTCGCAGGTTCGACAGGAGCTTGCGTCTAGATTGCTCGCTAGAGTATATGATGAGGATGAAACTAAGCCTAGCAAGTGGTGGTTGAGCTTTACCAAGAGAAAGTTCATGGGCAAGTCTTTGTAGAGTATTGGCAAGGGGGGAGGGGAGAGAAGGCATTTTAGAAGACTATCACCAAATCGAGGAGCTGGCGTCATACAAAATACATTTTCAGTACTTACTTGACCTATTTCTGTCGGCTTCTCAGTACTTGGAGAGTCGGGACACTTGAGATTGCTCCAAGCGACCAGAATGAACCGCCTACACAGACCTGTCAAGATTACCACATTAGCAGTCAGCCACCATAACTCATCAGATCTTATTATAACTTATTGTAGTTTACTCTAAGTCACCGTAAAAGTAGCCGCGTGTTTTATGACTTGAGATTGAAGGTCTTTGCTATTTGGTACTGCTCCTTTGTCATATCTTTGACAATCAGGGCCATCATGTTTATACTGGTTTGCTTGCCAACATCAATGCTATTATCAGGCTTCCAAGAAAACACATGCGATTGTTTAGGCAGCTTAGCTACCGCTAGCCTCGCTTCAACAATCAGTTGTTGAATGACCTCATATTGATTGAATAGAAAGCAATCAAGGCTTTCATTCTGACTATAAATTCTCCCACATTCCCCGACCAAGAGTCACAGTTTACTTCACAACATACCACCAGACCTTATATTATACAAAGACATCTTTATACACCTTTCTCCTCCTATCACATCGACACAGGGGAGACTAACACATTTCGCTTCGTTCTCATCACCAGCAACAGCAGCCCCCGTGATCGGTTGCATCTACTCTAGAGCTTTCAACTGTGAACGACGGAGACGCTACACTCCTCGAACTCACCCCAAATTCGGCAAAAATTACCCAGTCAAGAAACTCTGACAGCTCTCGCTCCCCACGAAGATCTCCCAAACTTGAGCGGGGATAACAGACAAAAGGGTTGGCGGAGTCTATCTTTGTTTCTTCTGTTGAACAAAGCCTGGCCACTCAACCGCCTGTTCACAAAGTCATTTCTCTTAAACTATACGGTACGCTATAAACATATCACTTCCTCATTTATTGCGAACATTGTACACTGACTCTTCATCTCAGCGTCACCGAACCCAAAAGTAACTCAATTGATCACGACCCAGATTGTTCAGACGGTCAAGGATAACATTGACTTGTTGGATGACCAAGACTTTGAAGCTGTTGTCGGAAACAGCGATCTGGGACACTCCCTACATCTATTTTAGACAACCTCCATATCCACGAGGCAAGACTATTATCAGTTCTCCTCAACCCCTTTCCCTTCCAAGTTGCTCATGCAAGATAAGATATTCCTTAGTCTCGCCTTCATCAAGTCTTATATACAATGAGTCTCTTTCCAAGCAGCCATATAAGGTACTCATGGAGTCGCATTCGTCATTTCGAGAGGTTCGACTACCAGAAAAACGATGACGGGACATATGAGAACGTCCAGAGGAATCTGCACACCATGATGTAGATGGTTGTCGAGGTCTTTCGGCCTCACAACCCGTTTCAATTCGATCAACTAGAGTTGGCGTTTATTTTCGCCCAGGACGTCTCGGAAGAATGCCATGTCAGCTCGATCGAGTATGATAGACAATCTGATACTCTGGGCAAGTTTCATCTCATCAAACGGAGTGGCATACCTGGTACAGCTAGATGCGAACCAACATGCAGAAATATTTCGCCTTACAACCGTATTAGCGGATTTCCCCATATCACGCCAACATAGCCAACGTCTTTGCAATCGGGACTCGGGCATACAAGTATCTGCCTCGGTACCAGCCTTGCAATGGCTGACTGCAAGAAGCCCAGAGTAAACATTATATTCCATCTTCCCTTTGACTATTAGCACCATATATAACGGTGTTACTATACTCCCCCTACCTTAGTTACCGACGTCAGCAAGATTATACGCACTAAGCCAACACCTCGCCGCCGCAGGCAGATATTTCCATTCGAGACAAAAGGAGTTTGGGCTAGAGAAGCCTTCTTGTGCTGAGGTAGTGGCCTCGCATTATCCCTTCTACACGGTAAGTCGACTGTAGCATGAAGTCTTATAGTCACTTACCGCAACACAGAAGCTCTGACTCTCGCGTTCAAGTTTCACGTTCGGGCCGTTATCCTCCCTTGCGGACACATCTTTGGCGCCTCCTGCATCAAGCAATACTTTGACATAAAGACGCGGGAAGGATGACTCACATCCTGCATCAAGTATCACACTGCCTGCTACTACCATTGCTACTGATATCCCTTCTACGGGGTACCTATGCCTTGTAGTATACCACGCATGGCGTTTACTCGGCATATCGGAGGCCACGACATTTCGGCCGCATGCCACAACCCCTACCTCTAGTCTTATACTATCACCACCACTGTCGATCTCATAGGTCTTGCAGAGATTCAATTGACGCCAGCAAGACCTGGAAAGCAAGATTGGAACAAATAAAGCGATCGCAAAAACTATTCGCTGGCCAAGACCTTGATGAACCTGCAATTGTTTCGCCCATGTCATATACGACAACCCTGGGCAAGGCCACGAATGCTTCGTATATATCGAACCTTTGGCTCATCGATGACAAGATTGTGCACATCACCTTTCCACACATCTCTGAACTCACCGGGTTCGGAACGCCCCCTATGAGTTTCTATTGCGCCCACTGGCTAGATCGCTTCGCTACCGGGCAGTTTTGGGCCACGCCAATTGTACCCGTGAGACTGCAGGAGATTGTCGCGGAGTACATTCTGATTCAGGCCAATCTTTTTAAGAATAAGAAGGACTCTCAGGGACTAAGGCTTGCATATTACCCAACCACCTCGAGCGTTCATTGTTCAAGATACTAGATCAGGACCCATTGACGCAAAGCGGAGACTAAGCCATACCTCGCCAAAGAGCAACACGAGTTCTTAGTACATTCTTTCTTTTTATTATATTATATTCTCCATGCGAGACTTGGCGCCCATGTCGGCGATACCAACGATGAGATACACGTCGTCCACTACGATGGACGATTGCATCCAGATGATAGGAATGCCACTGTCGTCAACTTCAATGCCTGTCCTCGTCCCCGCATCCTTCTTGCGAGTCGAGGAGCTGGAGGCCAAGGCCTAAATCTACAAAGTGCTAATGTGCTTATTCGATGTAGATCTTGGTAGAAAGTGTCGTGGGAAGACCAGGCTGAAGGAAGGATATACCGGTATGGGCAGCAGATGGAAACTTATGTCACCAACGTTTTCTGTGAGAATGCGACCGTCGACGACTTCTTCAGAAGGAAGCGAGATAGGAAGCATATCACCAACGCCAGAATTGTAAACGGCATCACCTTTCCTGACCCCCAGTCGTGTTGGAACTAAGGATATAGAGGATATGCCCGAAACCTCCTCATCGTCGTCGATCGAGACTAGGAGAACTTTCTGATATGTCCATCCGGGTCGCGTGGGGGGTTCGTGAACTGACACGAGAACAGTTGCTAGGGTCATCACGGACACCGGTATTCACATGTTGGCAGTTCTAGAGCAGCAATCACGCTCCATCCTCCACAAGCGTGGCGGCTGTATCAAAGTATATAAGGCATATTTCAACAGCATGGCCGCTCAAAGGGGCTACCTCTTCATCAAATGCTGAGCAGAATGACCCGAGCCCTCAAACGAATCGACAAAGTCAAGCATCTTCCAAACCATCTTCTCGAGCACCAATGACATCTTATCTGAGCCCTCTCATCACCACAATGAGACCGGTTGTGGAGTTGATCCGCAGATATTTCCCCCATAAACTTTGGGTTGAGTATGTACAAAGGAACGAAGTCCGGAAGGCCATTGAGATGGCTTTCGACGAGTACGTTGGTACCAACCTTATCTCGTGATCAGCATACAGCTCAGAGATTTCCTTCCCTCTCTTATCATGTGTGCTAAGAAGGGAACATGCCTCCCTGCAGCCTGCTTATTATCGACACAGAGTTCTCCATGGCCACTCGTCAGCCGCGGGAAGTCGCAGTTATTGAGTATTCGTCTGGAGATACTCAACTGAACGCGGTCACCAAGTTTGACTGGGATGTTCCAGAACTATATACTATTTACAGGCTGGGGTCACCATAAGCTCTCTCTCCTCAGCTCCTGGCAGCCCTCAAATACGGGCGAACATGTGAAAAGAAACTGGACTGCAACACATATATTAAAAGCCCTAAACAAAAAGGCCAATGAGAAAGATGATCTCACATAATAGCTGGGATTTCAGACACAAGCTCAGAACAGAAGAAAACAATTCAATTTTCTGTATATATTAAGAGGGACTGAACAACATGCAGAGAAGTCTATGAGCTCAACACAGACATATCATTGCTCGACTGAAAATAGCCTGGAATAGGGCCTTCCCGCCTCTGATGAAGACGGCGCATACGCTATGTCTTTCAAAATCAACTGAGAGAACCTGGAACTCCTCTATAACAGACTTCCAGTGTGGCAGGAAACAGTAAACTGTCAAACAACAGCTCTCGCTTTCAACACTCGCAACGAAAATACGAGTGTTACTTCTGCGGCGAGGCGTTCCACCATCTCTCGAGCCTATCATACTTCTGCCACGTGTCCTCCCTGCCCCCATCGCCAAACATGCTCCCGAAAGTCTTGCACGAGAACATAAGTCACCGACTCGAGCTGCAGATGGAGTCTGCCCGTCTGGCAGACATCCTGTACCCTTTATTTCAACCCCGCTGAGGCTTTGCGAGATAAGGACTGGGAGCTGAAGAAACAATGATAAAGGATAGATTGGCGATTGAGTTGATATAAACGATTTGGTGATGGATTATGGAAAACGCCTTTCAAGCTCGTCTCGGCACTCTCTACAAGACAAGAGAAACCTATTCTATAAATTACCAATTCCAAAAGTTCCTGGATGAGTCTGGGATAAGTTGGGAAGAGCTCGACGGTTTTTCTGACGAAGTGCAACCACCCGAACCTCTGCGGTCTGATATGTTTTTATCACAGCCCTCAATTCGGTTACACATGAGCATAATATTCAGTTCACAAGACGCTTGCCAACCTGGTAGAGACTTTGAAAAGAGACTATCCCAACCTCCACGGTCTCCACGACGAGATTAGGGAGAAGTTCGAGATCAAAAAGCAGACCTGACATCTGGCCAAGGAAAGAGAAGAATGTTACGGGATTGTGGACGAAATCTGCCATCGTCTCAAACAGAGTCAACACCTGAGCCAATCTGAAAGAGACTTGAATACCGTCAATATCAGGGTCCAGCATATACAGGACCTCATTAGGGATGACGATAACGGAGTACTATATGTACCTCACAGCCAGGCTGGACCCTCACATGGAGATGCCCCAGACCAGATTAGTATCCCTGCGCCGGATCTGCGGAGCCCCCTCCTATCCAGGATCCTACAGTTGTCGTTCGATGAATTGTGAAGCAGAAGAAACGACTCATAATATCCGTCGATACATCTTAGGTCTAGATGTAAGATCAAATAATCAGCATGTTTCACCCGGTAAATCTAGAAAGATTGCCGTAAGACATGCTCCCGCACTATGCACGATTCACCATGTATGAAAGTCACCGAAAGCCCCCTGAAAGATCCGGCGGCGATGAACGCAGGCCTATTTACTGACTACCCTCAGGCGGCCAAAGTGCCACCTCAGTACACCACAGGGGCTAGACGACAGTCCACGGTCTTGGGAACGTGAGGACTTTCTACAACAAATCGATCACGAAACTGTCTATGGCTACTGGAAAGAACGCGGTGGCCGAGACGAGGTGACACGCCTAGACTGGACGTATTGTCTTTTTTACCTAATATCCTACCTTTTCTAAGCGTGAAATTCTTACAAACACGAGCTATATTATTTAGACAAACTCGGACGGGAAGCCGAGGAAGAAGCCCGACCAACGATCAGAACAGCCGAACGTGAGAAGACGGCGTGGACAGAGAGGAGTAACTTGCCCATTCTGCTCGGCCCACTGCAATGCTGCCAGTGGTATCGTCCACCATCTTGAGCAAGGTGCTTGCCCAGCGCACCTCTGGACTTGAGATATGCTCCAAGTTGCAAAGAGATTGATGCCCTCTCATATCGTACATTTCAGCAATTAGACTACGTCTATCAAATGCCAACTCAAAACTGTCTAGCATCTATAAAGATCTGGAACACTTCGCACTGACAGATGGGTCACTAATCGAGATATGGGCCAATCTGCCCTGCATTTCCTTCTGCGCTTCTTCAAGGTGAAGTGGTTTGTCTTGGAGACGATACATGGAGTCGTCAATCAGTATTTTCCTTTTCTTGCAAACGTCACCTCACAGGGCCAGAAGCGTGTCTCAGCTGATGTAACATATATATCCCATATCACGAATCGCGAGAACTCATAACGACAAGTTTCTTTCCGACGACCAGATCAATGATTTCATTCAAGGCCAGGAGGAGTCTGGAAATTATAACCGATTTTCGGCATGCCAATCCAGACAAAGAAACAGACTTAATAGAGCTCAGTCGCCAACAGTATGCTCAAGAGCACGCCCTTTCATCAATACAACCTTGTCGTATATAGCAAGCAACGAGAGAATAGATCAAAACAGAGCTACGTCTACGACCCACGAGTTTGGTGTGTGGTAACACTATGGAGCATGAAAAGCTGATTGGAAAGATCAACTCTTTGTTCTATAATGTATATCTACTCAGCATACCTATATCAGGGACAGATGACGATTCCGACTCGAGAAGACAGCCAGAAACCAGATGAGAGAGCCAGGAGAGGTCTTGAGACTAAATGTAAGGCGTTCAGGGTCAGCAAAAGCTAGCAACAAGCTTGACACTATGAATAACCGAGAAAAGCTGACCATGAAAACCCCTGCCTTTCGACATCATGTGGCCACCGCACACGTTTGGAGGAACGAGGCACTTCTGATGGTGCTGGTCATGATTCATAAGTAATGTTCGAAATATAGAAACTCTAGCAAAGCGTCTACGCCAATGGTCCAAGAACCTAGAGCACACGTCTGGAACAGACATCATACGTGCCAGATACTTCCTTAATCTCTTCCGTCCTTACATTCCAGATGAAGACCTGGAAACATTAACAAGGTGGCCCCACCTCAAGACACTCATCTTCTCCTTCCTGAGCTTCCGGATATTTATAAAGACGTGGAGGGATCTTATGTGACTGGCAGATCATGGGGCTCTGATGAATTCGCAATTTCAAAGCCCCAATGCAGTGATTCGGCATCACTTATGGTGCCATACTTCAGGCGCGCCCTGGAAGAAAGAAACGAACCCGCAATATCCAGCTGTTTTATGACTGTCCCTCATGAAGCAAGTTCACCGTCGGCGGCTTTTTTACTACGAGATCAACTTGGCAAGACTTCTGGGGCTTCATTGCTTGTTATTCAGAGACCGGGTTCGACCCAAAGAGTTGGATGCAAGAAGATGAAGCATCTTATGATCCGAGAAAACAACATCTCGAAGGCGATATAATCTATAATAACACTCCTTCCACGCACTCACCCTAACATCCTACAGCCACACTATTTGTGGAGGCAATGATCCGTCGCTACCTACACCACGTTGTGTGGGTGAGATAGGCGCCAAGAAACACCGACTTTAATGGCTAAACACTTACCAAGCTCTATATGCATCTTATACGCAAACGTTTAACACTCTTCTATAAACTAGATATATCATATCCCTTTAGAACTTCCCACCGCACCTGATGGGAAGCTATCAAGCACGTCAGCGGGAGTTAAAGCAACGGCGAAACACTGTTGGAGTTTGGTTGTTTGGAATGGCTGGTGTTTCTGTTTCACACCTCTTCGAATCTTTCTTCCCCTCCCTCCCTCGCTCACTCATAGTCTTCCCAAGACTATTTATAGCAAACATGAGCCCATCAAAGTCACGGAGTGGGTTTCTCTTCATCCCGCCGTTCTTCCATATTTCAGACACAGTTGCTGGTACGTGTCCAGCTCCCAGCAGATAAGGCGGATGAAACCCTCAAAACAGCTAGACAGACACCTATCCCATTGAAAACAACATAGGTATTAACCAGGATCAGGAAAGGAGAGATTAGATAGACGAAAAGAAGGCGCAGACTCCGTTCTCCAGCTATCTCGAGACCATTTGTTGGATGTGAGATATTGTCTTCAAGTCTTTCCGCGACATAAAAAGACATTAAGATCCCCTATTATAGAAAAACCTCATAAAGAAGCGATATACTTATTCCTATACGGCAGAATCACACATATACAATACACACTCCCCTGCTATCAATTCGCAGTCAACCTTTCTAGCCGTCGAGGGCAGGTGGCCTGAGGACCAGGAAATAGCAGACCCAGGGCACCAAACGGCATATTAAGGAAGAAGGGAGTCTTTGCTCTTGGGTAATAAGCAGTCAAATACTATCCAGCACAGTTTCTTGCATCCTCTTCACATTTGTGTATGGCCACAGAACGATTCAAGTTTAGGAGCACTCCATCTGTACCTAGAAAAGTCCTGCATCCATATCCGTCTGGCCTAACTCTGGGTATGCTATACAATCCACAACTGGACATAATTCATATGTCCACTTCACAGAATATTTGCTCCATTGGTCTCAGAATGCACTGAATTTAGGGTCTCTATCCTAAGTGTTGAAAAGATTTAGGTAAATTTAGGATCAACTTAAGAGGTCTTTAGACTAGCGTTTTTTACACCTTGATCTGAGCAGAAGGTTTCGCGCCCCCTTTAGGGGGTTCTTGTATGTAAATCAATATTTCTATGTAGAGTTTGAATAGAAAGACCATTGGATTATGAATGGATTAAGTTATCTGAGTACGTCTCTGTGCGTTGCCCTCCGTTGGTATAGTAGCCTTGGTTGCTGTATCTCCTCTTCGTCGCTCGCAATTCGGGGCTGAATTCAAGGAGTTCGTATGAAATTTGAATGTAAGGCGTTTCTGTGACAAGAGTCTCAGGAGCCCCTTACATGTATCGTTGGGACTCAGGATTAAGGTGAATTGATGGAAGGAGAGGATGGCATGTAAACAAGACGAGCTCATTGACGTTTTATGATGGAACTGGCTAGAGGGGACGAAACTGTGAGAGGAGAAGAGCAAACACGAGTTGAAACAGTTTATATACATGGAACTGAGAGTGCTTTAATGGTTAATGAGGTGCTTCAGCACTGTCGGTATACTCGCCATCTCCTTTACAATGTCATTGTCTTGGTAAGCAAGACCGACTGATGCTTCTTTACGCTGAGGCCCCTTTGCACTTACTTCTCCTTCACTTGTCGATACGCATGTCTACTTCATTCTTGCACCTCCTAAGCTTTAAGACAACACAACTGTTTCCATTGGGTTCGAAAGTCTCATCATCACAATAGGTCATCATCTTCATTTGCTATCCCCTCATTTACAACTCACGATTCTCGACATCGCGTCATTGTGGCCCGTCGACGTTTCAAAGATTCTTTAATACCATGTACGTTCCTCCACGACTTAAACGAACCAGGAAGCCGACTTCTAAATTACGTGACTCGGTAAGCCATTATGTCCGTCAAAGCGGCTGTATACCTGATTACTCGAGTAGGTTGCGGTTGCAAAACCTGCCACTGAGAAGCAAAAGCAAAGCCGGCAAAACCGGCCAGACACGCCCCCCAGAACACTCGAATGCATAGAGGTATCCTCTTCTCCAACACCTTCCACCGCAGTACGCAACAACTATGATGTGCCCTGTGGGGCAGTAGTCTCTGCCACAGAACATGAGGATGCACCTCCTGAAGAAGTATCCTACACTGAGATGCCTGAAGTCTTGAGCCAGCTGCCGGAACCAGACAATTCTAAAGTTTTCGGATTTTGGCTCCAGGATCATATTGAGGATATTTACGCCGAGCATAGAAGTTTTTGTTTGAAGCAAGATGAACACGGCCTTCATCAGAAAACAAAGCTCGGCATGCTCGAAGTCACTGTCCCAGAGAACGGGCAAGCCATTCCGTTCGAAGCCATATCCGCCAAGCGCCCCAATTTCCAGAAAGTACAACTCCTACAAGGAGTGCAGTTCATTTTCTATTCACCTGAGTCACTGGTTCGATTTACGAACATCTTGATTACCACCCTTTTTTTACCACGCCTTTTGCCCATCGTGCCATGGGTTCACCTCAAGCTAGTCATTTTCGACCCGACTTGTCTTCCTCGAGCACCAGAACTGATGGCTTGGCAAAATATTGGCGTTGACCAATACTTCCTTGCTTCTTGGGCGTTTGCCTACGAGCATTATGATGATTGGATGAAAGCCATGAAGAGGTTCTGCAAGCTCTCGATGGTAGCCCTGGTCACTCTGCACTTTTGCTACCCTTATCGGAACTTCGACAATCTTCAATCTCTTTCGAAACCACTCCGAATAACCGAGAATCTGGGATTGTTGAATATCGACTTTGAGGTGAGTAACTAGAAGAAGGTTCCTGAGCCGGAATTCCATATGGCCATGGCCGTACGTGCCATCCGCCGTCAAACCATGGATGACAGAAATGAGAAGATGAAAGAGGACCTCGATATCAAATCAATTTTCCAGGCACATGGGTCGTGCTATTCGACATTGCAGTTGGATGAGGATAAGAGTGAGTGGAAGGATGCCCTTAAAGGTCGTTCACACGCATCCGAATGCAAAGCAATACGGGCACACATAGACCAGATGCTTGTACTCATAGCAGTATGAGATTAGGTTGGGCGACAGCATCGCATTGCCATTCAAAATTCTGTTTCTTCATTGATATGAACAAGAGGTTCGCCTTGCAACAGCTTCTTCAACAAACATTGCGATTCATTGATACAAGTCTACCCATGGCATACATACTACCTTGATAGCTCAGAAGGAATAAGCATTAGATAGATACCAGAAACGCTTAGAACGTCAACTAAAAGAGGCCCAAAATGCCTGTATCATGTCGAATGGATTTGTGAACTGGATGAGATGGCCGTCAACCTGCACATGCTCCAGCTGGACGATTACTTATACAAACGCTGTCAAACCATCCCTGATCCAAAGCCTCTCTTCAACTCAGGTATCTAGCTTTCTCCTCTTGAACCTTCCCCTCGCCTCAATTTTACCTTCAACGGGCACCGCCCTCCATGCTGTGAATAAGAATCCGTCTGCACCTCCACGGCCCATCATGAAAGGATGTGTCCTCCCAGGAAGAACCTGCCATCGTCGTGCCCTGCTACTCTGGATAGTCACACCGAGCAGAAGCGTAGGGTTAATAGGGAACTCTTCACTGCCCTCCCAGCGCTCAAGCTCTTCAGCTGTCTTGCCTTCGACCTCTGGTGGAGGCGATGATACCCACGCGGCTCGACGCGCCACGCTAAAGCAATCGGCCAGTTGCGTCAGGGGCTCGATGGTGGGAGAGTAAATGGCGATGGGGGCGCCACCCGCTAGCAAAGGTACTGTGCTGCGGACAATAGAGATGGGATCCATGGTGCTTGCAACTGCGAGGCCAGAGAATCCTCCGGCGCGTGTTGTGTCGACCACATGCCGAATACGCGCCCACCTTCTTCTCTTCCGGTGATAATTCCCTCTGCGATTCGTCTTCCATGTCGCAATTTCCTCTGGTGTTGCCTCGGGTGGCTTGTTGTTGTATGCGTCGTCTTCATCGGGTGACAGGAGCTGCAGCCATGAAATATCCAAGAGGTTGGTGTCGAGGGGGTGGTAGGGCGGAGAGGGGTTGGCGTTTGCGGCGTCGTAGTTGAAGTATCGTAGAAGAGCGAGGTTAGGCTGGGTCTGGCCGTGGATCAGGGTGAGTGTGTTTCTGTTGACGTAGGGAACGTTGAAGTCGCTTCGCTTAGAAGATCGCTTCTTCTCCTGCTTTTGTTCGGGGTCTGTTGCTTCTATTGTCTGGGGCTGGTCTTGGTCCATCTCGTCTGTAGGAGCAGTGTTGGTTTCGGTGACTTCTGGTGCAGCGGGATCTTCCGTGTTCTTCTCCTCGAGCTTGGGATGCAGGATGTCCATCCTCTCAGCCAAAGATGCCACCAACAAGCCACCCGTATCATCTACCACCAACCACCTCCCGCCCTGCGAAGCACCAGCATCCTCAGTAGCAACACCTCCATAGTGAACATCAGCCCAGCAACCGACCAGCGCCATCATCTCCTGCCTCATCTCGAGAATCTTTGAAGCATCGCGGTCCTCCAGCAACCACTGCGCTAGCATCGGTACGTCAAGAGGTAGCACCGTAAACCGTCGAATATACTTTTTCGTCTTGAGGAGCTTGTACTTGGCCAGAGAATACGCCGTCTTTTGGTCAATAGCCGTATGCGACAGCAGTAGTTTGGCGATCAGCTCCTTGCCCGCCGATGCGCCCTTGCGCTTGAGCTCCTCGATCTCTTCCGGCTTGAGAGTCTGTCGGGCCGAGTCGTCGATGATCTCGCGATTCGATCGGATGAGGACCTTTCCGCTCTCATCAACAAGAGTGAGCTCCTCGCCATCTGCAGCTGCAACAACATCGTCTCCCTCGGCTGGTTCTGTCGCTTCGGCACTGGTGTCGGCCAAGTCGTCGGCATTGAGCTCCTTAGCGGGCACGACGCGGAGGCGCGCAAATGTCTCTCCTTCGCGCTTGTCTTGGACCTCGTATGTGAAGTGGTACGGACGGTTGATGATCAGGTTTGTTGGGAATGAGCCATACTTGCCCAGCGAGATTGTCCTGTCGCAAAGTTAGTCGTGCAGGGAGGGAGTGGGAGAATGACGATTGGCTTACGTATTTGGTACGACCTGTAATACGCGATATGTCTCGTTGGGGAGCCGTAGGGCTACCCACGAATTGGGCTGTACCGTCTCCTTGTCCATTGCGTTTGTTGGAGCGAGTATGATTTGGTTATTGAGAAGAAGAAAAAACTAAGGTAAGCCAGCCTCACCTCGGTGAGCCCCGCCACGGCCCCCACACTCCGATCTTCACCGAGATCGCGGCAGCAAGGGAACCTCGTCAAGGGGATGCAATAAAACTTAGGACCTCTACCCTAGGTGACAAAAAGCCTTAGGCAAATTTAGGTAAATTTAGTATAGTTTAGTATAGATATAGAGGATCTTAGACTAAGTACTTTTAGCACCTTGGTTTAACGTCAGAGGTCTTCTTACACCTTGAGGCTTGTCTAAGTAATGAAAAGATGGTAAGTTTAGTATGTCTAAGTAAGTCTTTGGACCATATCATGGGATTTATTCTCACGAGAAACTTTTAGAATGGAAGTTCTTGTTAAATGGCAGTTATTTTGAGAATGAACACTAAATTGAAGGTACTGAGTACCTAGCATGAAACTGTCCCGAGGTACTGAAACAGCTGCATCTGCAATAATCGCCAAAAACTACAAGTCATTCATCTGTTTATTGGTGTCTCTACAAAAGATCTACTCCGTAGCACTAAAGACTTCCGCTAGTCTACAGGAAACCAATCACAACTTGCAAGACCCAAACCAACCTCTCATATTTGGGCATAAGTCAACATCGCAAAAGACCCAAAGTCTATCCTTTCATGTGCTCAACACTTCTCACTTCTCGTGGCTTCATACTCACAGTTAAAATTGGATGTCAATGTCCACTCACGCAATTCGGTCGCCATGGGCGTCCCGTTCGTTAGTAGCAGATCCAGAGTGTCCGCCAAAAAGAGAGGCGAGATAGTTGCAGATACCGTACCAAGCATAGAGGAACAAGCTCATGCTTCCGAAGAGAAAGAGGGGGACAAGAGTGTAGGTAGCAAGATCTGTGAGATCAGTCAGTATATGATACAGATAGGAGACATGGGGGAATACTTACAGACAACGCCGCCGGAGCGCTTGACAATGTTATACAACTCGTTTCGCATGATGTGCTCCGCACCCTTCTCCCACTTCCAGGGACCGACCATTCGGAACTTGGTGTTGAAGTTGGAACCCATGGCCCAGGTGTAGAAGACTTTCTAACCCTTCTTCATGACTGAGCCGGCCTTGGGTGCAGAACCAATGTCGAGAGCGAGCTGGTAGGCATAGCTCTCATGATCAACAGCTCGCTTGGTTTCATAGAAACTGTAGTTACCTCGAGGGTGAAGACGATAGTCGAGGTTGTAAGACTCGAGGGCATTGGAGTCACGAACAGTAGGTACCTCCTTAGGGTACTGGTGCTGGAGCAGGTGAAGAACCCACAGCTGAGCCTGGAGCTCGGCAAGGGGTGGGATGGCTCCAATGGAAGGGCGGACAAATCCAATGTAGCCAAGAGTCACATCTCCTTCTTTGTAGATCTCTCGAATGTTGGTCTGAGCGACAGTTGGGTAGTCGTTGTCCAGAAATGGGAAATCTCGAGTGTAGCCGGTTGCAAAAACTAAGACATCAGGCTTGAGCTGCTCCTTTGGGAGGGTCGAATCGCTCGTAAGTTTGTTGTCGAACTGCATGTTGCTATCTCGGTCAATGCTGGTAGGCCAAGTCATCACATCGATCTTCTTGCCCTTAGTGTCTTCAATCTTGACATTCATGAAGAAAGATCGGATACGGTTGCCCCATGACTGGGATCGTTTGCCGACGCTCATGTAGGGTAGAGCCTTGTCGGACTTGCAGAGGAGGACTATTGATATATTAGCTCTTAGGTCTGATCAACGAAAAGGGGATACTTACTTGAGTCCATGTACTTGCGGTCAGGGCTCATCTGGCCGACCCACTGATCAGGACCCTCTTCGGTGCCTGAGATGAACTTGTGCATATTTTTAATCCAGCTGTCGTAGTAAGTCCAGAGAAGTTGGCTCTTCTGCAGTTTTGGATGCGCGTAGGCCGTGTCGAACAGGCTGGCGACAGAGGTGTCAACAGGCTTGTTGGCAGTAGGTGTGGAACGTCCCAACGCTTGAGGAATAGGGATGATCTATAAACTGTTAGCTGACTCTTACAGTATTAGTGTGATGACATACCTTGGGCGCACAAAAGAAGCCATCGCGATGGCAGAGAGTCACAGTCTTTGCACCAGAAGTGACAGCGAGATACGCAAGATCCATACCGGTCTCACCAGCACCCATGATGTACACATTAGTGTTTTCACCAAACTGATCTCGAGACTTGAGATGGGATGAGTGAAGGACCTTGGGGACTCGTTCGATACCCTCGATGTGCGGCATGACTGGGTTGACGTTGATGCCACTGCAGACAGCAACGGCATCACACTCCCAATCAAAGGCACCTTGTTTGTTGCGCAGAGAGATGACATGACCAACGTCGTTAGGTCCACGACGAACTTTTTCAACCTTGGTGTTACACTCAATCATAGGCCAGAGGTTGAAGTTGGTGGCGTAGTCCTTGAGATACTCGACGTAAACTTCAGGGGTAACGAAATCAGGGGCATCGTCTGGGAGACGGAAGTCAGAGAAAGCAGTGAGATACTTTGAAGAGACGAGCTATGATATAGTCAGCATTTGTTTCCTCAAAAGAAAGAGGTGATAACTGACTTCAGCATCTTCATAGACGCGATAGGAGAAAGTGCCGCCGATCTGGGACTCAGCTTCGAAGAGTCGGACCTGGATAGGAGGGATGGGGAAATACTCATGGGCGTGAGCAAGGAATCGAAGGGTAGCTAGTCCAGCTGGACCGCCACCGATGATAGCCACCTTCATGGTGACTTACTTTAAGACGTAGTGATGATACAAAGAGTTTTGAGAAGGTATGGTTGATAGAGAGTGAGATGGTGATTATCAACAATGAGATGCTGTCCTGACTGATGATGTAGGATGAAGAGATAGATGAAAGGGAGCTTCAGAGAAGAGGATGATATCGAGACTGGGTACAGATGAGTAAAGATACTGTAAACAATGTCACTGGTAAGTCAGGCTGGACGCTGCCACTGCCAGTGTCAAATGGAGAGTAGTGGTACATGGCGACATGTTCACCTTGGAGTGAGCTGAACAGTATGTCAGTCGAATCCACTGGTACATTTCATTAATCGTCACTATTGAAGGGTATCTAATTAATGTAATGGATTATCTAGATATTAAAGACACATAGAAGAGTGCCGAGGGGAAAAGTGAGGGCATCGCGAGCTTCGTGTGGTAGTAGATTCTATGGCTTGAAAGCCCCGCGGCTAGATAGTTTAAGACAGACATTTCATGGCACACAACTTTCAACAGTCTCTTTGGATGTCCTTGGGGTGCAAGAAGACTTCTGACATTGAACTAAGGTACTAAAAATACTTAGTCTAAGATCCTCTAAATTTATACTAAATGATGCTAAGTTTACCTAAGGTTTTTTGTCACTTAGGATAGAGGTCCTAAGTTTTATTGCATCCCCTTAGATGTTCACTGTCAAAGCCTTGTGTTCGAACGTTTTCATTATTCATATATCTCATGCCTGAACATCCCATTGCAGCTCATTCAATTGAATCAATGAGGTGGGTGCTCATCCCCAGACAACGTTACATACTAACTATTGCGAACACTTTTACACGCAGTGATGGCACCTCTTGTCTTATATCTTACTTTACTATCGAGTACTTTCTTTAATCTAAAGCCTAGAACACAACTTGTGAACTTCACTAACTTCCTCCTAGGTGAGGCCTCCTATGAAGGGAATACATGACCACCAGCTGAAATCCCCCTTACCATTGTTCTTTACAGTCATTGTCTCATTATTACTTTGAGTCCACAAAACTGGCCAAACCCCATGGGGGAAAAGAAACAATGGATCGTCGATTCGCCTTCGAACTCAATGACAAAAAGCCTCGACAGTCGCCTTGGAGAGCAAGAAAACATCGGACCTCGATATATGGTATCAAAATAAACTTAGTAAAGGGTATTCTAAGTCTATACTAAATTTATCCTAAACTTATACTAAGTTACCTAAGTCTTTTTGTCACTTAGGATCAAGGTCCCGAGTTTTCTTTCCTCCCTTAGACTCGTTCAAGCTTAAAGCTTATCGCGAACCTGCAGGACACTTAAATTTCGTATTCCATCGCCTGATGCCTTGTTTTATGTAATTTTTACTGTCATTGAACTCAACTAATTGTTAGGTTATCTCCGTTCCTGCCTGTTGCCCTTGTTTCGACCTATCGAAGTTTCCCAACAGAGTACTTCTCAATTTGAGCCTCAGGAACCAACAGAAAAAGTCCCTCGATAGCATCGACAACTTCTTTCTTCAGCATCATCAATCAATCATTGGACTTGTTTTCTCGCAAGATCATATGCATCCTGCAGCCAGCTTTGGAGCCGGACCGACCTCGTCATTTGAATACAGCCTATCATCAACTATCAAGCAGACCTGCTCTTGATCACTTCATGTTGGATTCACATGCAAATCTCGATCAACTTGTGGACTGTGAGGGCCATGGAACTCATACGCGCATACACGAAGAGACAGAAACTAGGACTGGGACTGGGACTGGGATGAGAGCCTAGGGAATCGACTTACTGTTCCTAAGCAACAATGAGACCGTATGATGTGGAACTCGTCGAATGGCGCGATGGGTATTCATCTGCATATTGGCTATGTGTCACAAAAGCTTCATTCTCCTCCTCGGAACTGAAGTCCTGGGTGGGCCTTCTGGAATATCATCCCAATTTTGAGTCGGGGCGGAAAGCTTAGTAAAGAAACTGTTATGGCATCTCGATTACTTTCATGGTGTTCAATCATGGCCACGGACATTTCATGGAGTCAGGCTGAACGGCGGAATTTTAAAGAAACCCACGAAAACAACTGGAATCAATTCAAGTTCTTGTTTCATTGCATCGACTTCGATAAACATCAGGAACGGTCTGTTGTTGACGTCCCTCTTCTCTAACCTCACTCTCATTGGCGACGTTGCTGAGGCATCATCGATCCACCAAGCGCCTTTCGGCACAGTATCTTCTCATCCTGAAGCTTGACATGCTTCTCACCGAAGCCTCAAAACTCTGAATACCGCCATGCAGGAGGCGTCATCCTGCTTCCAACCTCCTCCTTACACATGTGAGATTCAGCAGGTGAGATGAGACGTCAGATGAGTCTAGGTACAAAAGAGATGGAGGATCTCTATTCATCAGTCTCATCAAGCCGATCAAGTTCAGTTCTCACCTCATTCGTTACCCTCTCATTTCTACACTCTGTCCGAGTAAGAGATGAGAACGTCCCTCTTTTACGCCCTCAACGGGGCCCTCGGGGTTGTAGCCCACGAGTCGCTTGCCCATTTCAAGATTGAATCCGGTAAAGAAGAGCAACGCTCTCTTGAAGGATGCTCAAAGGATGGCAAGCACAAGTGGGTTCCCGACCCTGCGACATTTGTCTTCCCTGAGAACGACTACAAGCCCGGCAACTCCTGGGATCTCTGTGTCGGCACATCTCATTGCGCCCCCCACGAGGCCTTGACTCAGGTTTCCTTCGATTTCAAGGACAACGGCATCGTTTTCAACTTCAAGCATATCGACCACTACAAGTACGAAGATGTAGCCGTCTATATCGAGCGTGGTCAGCCTCCGACAGAGGACTCTTTCAAGTACAACAAGAAGAGTGACCACTGCAAGGCCAAGAACGACTACAAGGAGGCCAAGTGCTTGGTTCCCTTCTTCTCACTCTCGGATGGCGGCTCCTACAGCGACCTCTGTCCTCTCGAGGACAATGGAGGCTGGAGACTTTACATCAAGGTCAAGGCCACCATTTCACACGGGAACAAGAAGTACGAGCTCTACAGCCGCTCTCCCGATATCAACGAGAAGTACTTCGTTATCAGTTACACCTGCGCTGAGTGCAAGGAGTAAGTCAACCCGTTAATCAGTATGCCTCACTTTACCTAACATTACTCAGGTACAAGCACAAGAAGATCGAGTTGATCGAGGAGAAGGAAGAGGCTGAGGCCGAAGCCGAAGATTCTGAAGAAGAAAAGGAGTATAAGAAGAAGAAAGAGGCTGCGGAAGAGGCCGAGGAAGAGAAGAAGAAATACAAGAAGAAGAAGGAAGAGGAGAAGGAAGAAAAGAAGAAGTATAAGAAGAAGAAGGCTGAGGAGGAAGCCGAGGCTGAGGAAGAGGAAAAGAAGAAGAAATACAAGAAGGAGGAAGAGGAGGAGGCTGAAGCCGCAGAGGAAGAAGAGAAGTACTACCCCCGCTTTGTCCTTTCATTTCACCAGTACTAATGCAGCTGCAGGCATAAGGAGCACCATCATGAGCATTACCACAAGCATCACCATAACCATGGCCACAACCACGCTCATCGCCATGGACACAGACATGGCCACCTCCACGGTCATCTTCACAAGGAGCATCACCACCATGATCACCGCCATAAGAACCACCATCATGACCCTCATCACAAGGACCCTCGTCATAAGCATCATGCTCGTTCTTATGATCATCATGACCACCACAAGCACCACGATCCTGGACACTACCATCATGACAACCATGATGGTCACAAGCATCACGATCCCGGTCACCACGGTCACCACGGTCACCACGATGGTCATGATCATTATAAGCTCCATCACTACTATGATCCCAACAGCCACCGTGACTTTAATGCTTTCTTGGACGATTACTTTAAGCACTTCGGTTATCACTACCACAACGATGATCCTGGTCATCGCCATGGTCATCACGGTCATCATCACGGTCACCACGATGGTCACTACCACCATGATCCTCACAAGCACCTCCATGGCGAGCATCACGATGGAAAGCACCACCACAATGAGCACCATGATGGCAAGCATCACCACAATGAGCATCACAGCCATCATCATGTTGAGCACCACAACCATCACCACGGTCACAACGAGGGACACAAGCACCACCATGGTGAGCACCATGACGGATATAACCACCACCACGCTCGCGGCTTGCACGGACATAAGCACCATCACGGACATCACCATGGCCATAACCACAGCCACGCTCATGACCATGTCCACAAGCACCGTCACAAGCACTTTGACGACCATGTCCACTATAAGGAGCATCACGTTTACTACGACTATAAGGATGATGGTCACCACGACGGTCACCACCATGGTTATGATCACCACGATCCTCACAAGCACCACTATGGTCACCATGATCCTCACAAGCATCACCACCATGATCCTCATAAGCATCACTACAGCCATGAGTACGACTACGGCCACTACAAGCGATCTGAGCACAAGGAACCCATTACTATCTACTACAAGGAAAAGTCCGATCACTCTCGCACTCACATTGATACTTCCAAGAAGGAAAAAGCTTCCAAGAGTGAGCTCGAGGCCGAGAAGCACAAGAAGCTTTTAGAAGAGGCCAACAAGAAGGACGAGTACAAGTACAAGCACAAGGGCGACCCTGAGCACAAGTATCACTCCGAAGAGGATAAGTACAAGCATGAGAAAGAGCACGGGCACAAGTACAAGTACGGACCTAAGTACGAGCATGAGCATGAGCATGATAAGAGGTCTGCTTCCGAGGATAGTGGTTACAAGTCCAAGCAGGAGGTCAAAGGGGTCTTGAAGGGACACTTCCAAGAGGCTCTCAACAAGTTCTACCATGCTTACATCGCAAAGAAGGAGCACAAGCACTACGAGCACGAGAAGCCTGAGGAGAAGCACGACTCTGGCCACTACAAGCACAAGGAGTACAAGCATGAGGAACCTGAAGAGAAACACCACTCTGATCACCACGAGCACGAGGAGCACGAGGAGCACGAGGAGCATGAGCCTAAGAAAGAGCACGAAGAGCACGAGGAGCACGAGCCTAAGAAAGAGCACGAAGAGCACGAAGAGCACGAGGAGCATGAGCCTAAGAAAGAGCACAAGGAGCATGAGCCTAAGAAAGAGCACAAGGAGCACTCCTACAAGCACCCAAAGGAACATGAGCATGAGCATGAGCATGAGGATAAGGAGCACGAGCCTAAGGAAGAGCCCAAGAAGCACGAGTCCACCGAGTTCGAAAAGTCCTCTCACTATTCCGCCAAGAAGGCGAGCTTGGAGAGTGAGAAGGAAAAGGCCAAACACGAGGCTCTGGAGAAGCTTTGGGATGCCCGCATCACTCATGAGCGCAAGTTCAAAGAGAAGCTTTTCTTCATTGAAGCCGGCCACTGGGGTAAGAAGGGCGCCCACAAGCGCTCTCTTGGGTCCAAGTCTAGCGAGGCTACCGAGGTAGAAGTCAACAGTGCCAAGGTCGAGAAGTACATTGAGGACGCCGAGGACAAAATCTTGGACGAAATCGAGGAGGCCATCCGAGTGGCTATCAAGAAAGGCGGCGACAACCCTAGCAGTGGAACTATCCTCACGTACGTCAGGAAGGTTGAGAAAGCCATCAAGATCATCATTGCAGAGAACGTCAAGAAGATCATCGCCCATATTGTCAAGATTGAAGGCGTTGAAGAGCCTGATGAGGAAACCATTATCAAGTACCTTGCTCCTGCTATCAGCGAAATCGTCAAGGCTGCCGACAAGATCTTCGCCAAGACCCTCGAGGCTCTGGGCGAAGACCCTACAGATGAGGAGATCGAACACGCCATCAAGAAGGTTCTGAAGCTTCTCGATGAGGTCATCGACGAGGTACTCCGCAAGGCCCTCATTCTCATCTTCGAGTTGGAGGAGGAGACCGCTGAGACAAAGCTTGGTAAGCACGATAAGCGCTCCGATCCCTATGACGACACCACGGTCGAGAAGGCTGTTGAGAAGACCGTTGAGAAATGGGCTGCTAAGTACGTCGAGGCAGATGAGAAGAAGCACAAGCCCCTGAAGCGCTCCGTGCGATTCGCCCGACTCTACAACTGAGGCGCTCCCAAAGGAGGGCAAGTCCATCCAGGCTAAGATTGAATACAACGATCTTAAGGCCAGTGTCACTGGACACAAGAGAACCACTTGACCTGGGTACATAATAAGGATGCAGTAGTTGGTGCTGTGTCTAGTTGACAGGTTGAGGAGGGATTAGGTACATTGTTTCATCATTTAAGATAGCCATTCCTTTAATAAAAGTAACCTCTCTCTTTCTCTTACTTGAGCTGCACAGTCAAGATGTGATAATGCTTCAAAGAGCCCCTTGAGGAGCAAGAACACCTAACCTTAAGTCACATGTGCAAGTTTATGTGTTCAGTTTGGAATCATAAAATTGGTATATTCTGTATCGTATTCCCAAACGCCATTTAACATAATTCACATAAAATCATAATAGTTCTATCGCAATCTTTTCTCTAGTTCCAGTTAGGAGCGTATGTGATGAAGGCCATCAAGCAACCTGAAATCAGACCAGCTGTAGGAACAGTGATAAACCATCCAAGATAGATCCATCCAACCATGCGCCAGTTGATAGAACGCCAATCTCCGTTGCAGAGACCGACTCCGACAATGGCACCAGTGATACATTGAGTAGTAGACACAGGCAGTTCTGCAAGAATGGTTAGGGTATGTTGCTGAAAAGTGTTTGTGGGAAAACTTACTAAGACGAGTGGCCAGGATGACAGTGATAACAGAACCAAGTTCCATGGAGAAGCCACGGGCAGGGGACATGAGAGTCACACGGTTACCCAAGTTTCGCATGATGTTATAACCATATGTCCAAAGACCAATGACAATACCAGCACCACCGAAAGCGAGAATCCAAATGGGGAGTTGAGCCTTGCTTCCAGGGACGGCCCCGGACTGCCAGATCTGGTAGATGGAGGCATAAGGGCCGACAGCGTTGGCAACGTCGTTGGCGCCGTGGACGAAAGAGGCGGAGGCAGCAGTCATGACTTGGAGGAAAGTATACAGGAATTCAGTGCGATTGTCGAAATGTTCAGCACGAGCGTGAATCTCTTCAACATCGCCGGCAACAACAGACTTCTCGCTCTGAGAACTGACAATATCCTTATCGACACCGTGAAGAATGGCAAACTTGAAAGCCCACCACATGAAAGCACCAGTATACCAAGGGGCATCAGGCTTGGGTCCAACCATGGACTTGTGCTGGTGAGGGTTGGCAGCAGGCTCCTCGGTAGCCTGCTCGGTGACAACCTTCTTGTCATTGCCAGCGGCCTCGAGATCCTCACCAAGGGCAGCAGCACGCTGAGTGCGGCGCTCCTCAAGCTCCTCGCGGGTAAGATGGCCTTCGTAGAAGTTACGGACAACGCCCTGGAAGTTATCGGGGGTGGGAGGGACAGGACCACGGCGGAGGAGGAGAGGGCCAAGGAAGATATGGTAAGCCTTGAGCTGCCAATCCTCCTTGATAACGATACGGTACAACCAGGGGACGAGGAAGATGGCCATGAGAAGACCCCAGCCAGCACCAGCAGCGACGATCACACCGGGTATTTGCGCCTCAGTAAGGTTGACCTCATAAGAGCCACCCTTCCAGATGAGCAGCATGACGATGAGTGAGGCAGTGGCCCAGAAGTAGAAGGGGACAAGGATAAGACCTTTGATAGCGGGGTTCTTGCGGAGGAGGACGCAGTATTTTGTGAAGAGGAAGATGGATGCACCAAAGATACCGGAAAGCATAGGGGCGATGATCCAAGCGAGGAAGACCTGTAGGATTTGAGTTAGCGTACGTGAGTGTGAGACGGTGGTTGAGTACTGACCTGAACGACACCTTGCTGAATATCAAGAGAGCCGTCCTCCTTGTAGCCAACCCAAGTAATACCAGAGCCGCCAAGGGCACCAACACCCATACCCAAAACACCACCGAGGATAGAATGGGTAGTAGACACAGGGAAACCAAAACGGGTAGCAAATGTGAGGTAACTAGCAGAGGCAACAATAGCGCAGACCATACCCAGCATAAGAAGAGCAGGGCTATCGTCAAAGGCCTCAACGTCAACAATCTTTGTTCGGATGGTATCAGCCACACGGCCACCAACACCAAGAGCACCAGTGAACTCCATGATGCTAGCACCGATCATAGCCTGGAAGTAGCTGATAGATCGGGAAGACACCGACGAAGCCCACGAGTTGGCGACATCGTTGGCACCGATGTTCCAGGCATCGAGGAAAGCAAAGATAGTGCCAACCGCGAAGAGGTAGTCGTACTGAGCGAAGACTGCCATTTCAGTGGTGCAGTACAGTAAGAAGAAGTTCAGAAGGAAAGGGAGGATGTGTAAGGGATCTGGAGAATTCAGCTTCTACGAGATATTTCCATAGTATATATAAGTTTTTCCAGCTGGTGGAGAAGAAGAGAAAGAATTATTCTACGTGGGCTATGGAGATACTCACACGCCCCCCAAGAAAAAAGGCCAAGACAAGACATCGCCAAGACGATTCCACCGAAGAAAAGGACCTCGAGCTAGGATTAACATCAAGCATCCCGGGCTTGCCACAGAAATTCTTGTACGCCAAGAGTCAGATCAACAGAGTGCGAGTGTGACTGCGTAACACAGAACAGGGCTGGAACATGCACGAAGGGGCTATACAGCAAGCAATTGGCTTTCTCTGTCAACGGTAGCAACACATCCGGGAGGCGTTGAAGAAACTGGAGACACTCTCCACCTGGAGAACTAAGCTTACCTTAAGCTTGTGACTAACCTTGTTTCCAGTGCTAAAACGTCTCAGGCTGTAACTGGCGATCGCGGGAAAGGAAGACGTGATGGTTTTGGGAAATAGAGCACGCGACACACAAGCTGAGAGGGGAATACGATGGTTTTGAGGTGGAAGAGGAGTGAGAATGCGACATGATTCCTAATGCGTCACCGACGTCTGAGATGGTGATGCAGATGGCTAATGCTAGGGGGATGTATGCCAAGCTGTAGGCGAGCCATGGCTTGACGAATCCTGGAGGGGGAAACGAGCTGGGGGAGCTTGTGATGATCGGTAGAGATGGTAAAGGTTGAGTGAGCTTGGAAGGTTTCTGAACTCAATGGCTAGAACTGAGCTGCTGAGCCGTTCTTCTATGGACAAGCTCTTCACAGCTCCCTTGAAAGAGCCCAATGCCTCTTCCTTTCTCAGCCGTTGATACTCGACGAACCTCTGCTCCTGAGTAGCCCTCGTGTGCCTCAAGCACAGACACGCGACTCGATACTCTTTCCAGCCAAAACCTCAGAACCTCGAAACACACAACGAAAAAGCGACCAATCAAACAGGCACCATGCGTTCAAAAGTCGTCGGTGCACTAAACGAGAAATGCTGCAGGCAGGGATCATGACAAAGGGGGGCCCTCAACTTTATCGTGGATAAAGCCAAGGAGCTTGCTCCTTTTTGTGTTAGATCTACGGGTATTGTCCGAACCAAGCTTTCAAGCACGACGAATCAGAAGAAGGGATCTCTACACGTGTGAGACGTCAATGCCAGATTGGCTACTGGGGCTGCATTATGATGGGCAATGTTTTTATGGTGGATAGAGAGGCAAAGAGAGGATATTCTCGGATGATTTAATCGGTATCCGAAAAGAGTATATCCCAGGCGGAAATATGGTCTGTGAGGTGGTTCCTGAGACAATTGCTATGGGGACTTGTTCTCAGGTGTCACCGAGGCAATAAGACAGCACTCTTGGCGTAAAGCCGGGAACTGGGATTCCCATCGTCGATGATGGCTATGTTACTGATTCCATGCTCTTCCTTGCCACGGCGCATGTAAATCAGTGCTCAGATGGACGTTGCCTTTGACTTGACCCACTCGTGATCTTCACGGAGTTGAGGCGAGTCAATATGGAGCACTGGCTGCTTCACAAGTCAAGGACAAGGCTATACATAGCTCATCTCTAACAATTATATGAGTTTTGGGTAATGGTTTGGTAAGATACTGAATGTTTCTTGTAATGTAAAACCGGGAGATAATAAGCTTAGAATTAAGGTATCGGCAGTTAACGTCCCGGTTGAGATACAGGGTAGGATCTCGGGATTTTAAGTTGATGATAAAAATAAACGTGAAACGGTCAGTACACGCGGCAAAGCCTTGACTTTTGTTGACGATCTTGTGGAATTTGAAACGGTAACTCAATGCTTGACTGTGTGTGTTTCTTGTGACTGACTGATATGTCACTGCATATTCTGTTTCATCGGAACAAGGCGAGCATGTCACTGCAGGATGGTTATTGTAGATACTTTAGACTTGAAGTGTTAGATATGAGAGTATCTGAAGTCAGCGATTAAGCGACCAAGTATCATGCTTGGGCAGTCAGACTCTCTTCTGAACCTTTGCTGATCTCCATGCTAGACATCTAGAATACATTTCAAACAATGAAGCTTGGGTCGGCCACGTGACAGCTTGCCGTTTCGAGAACTGACTAGTACGTCTCTGATTGGTTCGGCTGACACCACGCCGCTTACCCCACAGCTGCCCCACGAAAAAGTTTCAGTATATCCACCAAAACTCGGTATCGTAACACATGAGCTGCATTGCAACACGACTCTTCAACGAACCACAAGCGTAATTGGTTTAGTGGTAAAATTCTCCGTTGCCATTCGAGCAGCGTCGGGGAGCCCTGGGTTCGATTCCCAGATTACGCATTCCTTTTGCCGTTTCTACGTCTTTTTACATCTGCATCTTTTTTGGAAACTTGGTAACTATTCTGTCCACTAACTACACTACTCTGAAAGGTATTGTATAAATCAGGCGCGAGCAGTCATATCCTTCTCCTCGTGCTGAGTACCCTGAATCTTCTCTTCATCGAGAGTTCGCTCCCCAAGACCAATGTCTGCCTCGTAGAAAACGTCAACGACCTTCTTGTAAGAGGGGACAAAGTTGACAGCAATGGGGTATGACCAGGCTGCGACGAAGAACATCATGGGTACAACCATCGAGATACCAACGTCATGCATATCTGCAACAGCTCCTGTCAGGGGAGGCACACAAGCACCGCCAATGACACCAGCAATAATGAAACCGCTTCCTCTCTTAGTATGGCGACCAAGACCTCTCATACCCAAAGCAACAATGGTAGGGAAGCAAATAGACTCGAAAAAGAGAACGACGTAGAGGAAAGATACACCAGCAGTTCCGTGGTGGACGATAGGCGGTCCGATAAAGACAATGCACATGGTCAAGAACACGAAGAACACCTTTCGCGGTTTGCAGAACTTCATGAGAAACGTCCCGAAGAAACGACCGACGGTAAAGGCTGCCTGTGCGCCGGCGAAGAGCTTAGCTCCCATTGAGTCTGATGTTCCTTTGCGCATCTCAGTCGCGTAGTTGATGAAGAAACTCGCGATAGCAACTTGCGCGCCGGTATAACAGAACTGAGCGAACGAAGCATGGAAGAGCTTATACTGTTTATAGAAGGGTTTGTCATCGGCGTCTGAGTGCGTCTCTTGAGCTTGCAAGGCCATGTCTGGAAATTGTTAGTGAACGTAGTGCTGGTGCAGGGGATTCAACGTACCAGCGTCGGTGATTTCAGGAATCTTGGAGACGTAGAAGAGGCATGCCAGGATCAAGACAAAGACGGCGATGGAGAGGTAGACCCATTGCACGTTGGCAAGCGCTGCGTTATCGTCGAGATTGTTGAAGAAGACATATGAGCCGAGAACGGGAGCAATGACGGTGCCGATACCGTTGAAGGCTTGGGAGATGTTGATGCGGATTTCTGAGTATCGAGGAGGACCGCAAACTGAAGACGTCAGAGACGGACACAAACTGAGGACGATTCAACATACCAGTGATGAATGGGTTAGCAGCAGTCTCAAGAGAACCAAGCCCGTTTCCGATGATGAAGATGGACATGCAAAACCCGGCAAACGACTTTGCCTTGATACACGGAATAGCAATCAACGCGCCAACAGCATACAAGCAAAGACCCCAGATGAACACAGCCTTGTATGAATAATGACGAAGGATCCACGCAGCATGTCCCAGCGACGCAAGAGGATAAGCACTGAAACGTTCATCAGCTCTACTATAACACCCGTCGATGCTGATATACATACCCAAAGTACGCAGCCTGAAGACCTGCCGACCGCGCACGATCGATATGCAGTACCTTTTGAAAGTGCTTGTTCAGCGTATCAAGGAGTCCATAACTGAAACCCCAGAGGAAGAAGAGCACAGTAACAAGTGCAATAGGCCAGATGGATTCTCGCAGGGTGAGTTCCGCTGCCTTGGTGACTTTCTTATCCGAGACCTTGAGCGATCTCTCCTTGAAGAACTTTTTGGCGCCCATGATGGAATGTATTACGAGGAAAAAAAGAAAGAACTGTAAATTCCAACAAGGCGAAAGGGGAAGAGCAAGCTATTTACAGTATTTCTCTATCGGCTCGAGCAAGGGGGCAGGCGTAACACATTGACCGTCATAGAAAGTGTGGCATCACGGTTCTCCTGCGCTGTAACCTCATAAGGGAAAGGGCTCCAGTAGCTTGAGTGTGTTTGTTGGAGAAGAATCTGGGGATTTGCGGGGGAAAGGGGAGAAAGGGTCTGGAATGGGTTTAGTTGATGGAGTGATAGGCATGGTTTATGGTTGTTTTTGGTCGGGGACATGATTCAGGTTTTTGGGCCATCCATGGTGATCGTTGCAATGATGGACCGAGTGGGAGGGTTGAGGATGCATTGGGTGATACATACTTCTAGAAGACATCACAGAGATAAGCATTACTCTAAAGTTCTAGCTAGAGCTTTAATGAAGGGAGATGTATAGTAGAGTAGAGTAGACATTGCTTTGAGTGATGTTGTTCATGCATATCAAGTAATTACTCCAACTTCACAAGGATTCATCTGCCGAACGTGGCTGGCAATAGCGTCAATTCCCAACGGCACTCTCCCTCGGCAAGTCCCCGTCTGTTCTGGTGGTCTCTTTTAGTTAAATTACAATCTCCTCCTTGATTTCAACCCCCAAGAACGCGGGGTCAGAAGGTGAAATGAAACACAAGAGCTAAATCCTCCGTTCGTGATACGCACGCAACTTACGTGCATAAAGACCTTCTTATTACGGCTATTTTCATGTCTATCATCGGACTATTTTCTCTCTAGTTAACCCCCATGCCGAATGGTAATCTACCTGAGATGGCCAATCGCATTACTCTGTTGGTTGCGAGGAAGTTTGTTAAAGTGCTGTGTCTCAGGATGCGACGTCAGACAAGGGGATCTATCTGAAGATTTGACATGGTGAATCGTTGGTTGGAAGTGATGTTGTATCAGAAGGTTACAAGCTAAAGTCTATTCACTCCCTTGACCATGATCGAGAAGTGTTCTAGACTTTTGTCACTGTCGCATACGAGAATTATCTTGCTCACTCAGCATCACAAACCATGAATATTCATTTTGCACTGGTAGAATATCGAACCCTCTCTGTTTATCGACGTCCTGAATCATCACGTGACTATATCCTACCTCGCTTTCATCAGCGTATCGCACTGCAAGCGCAGAGACGAGATTCGTTTTTTTCCCTCCGCTTGATACTCCCTCAAGACTATCGTATTCCAATATCAGCAGCAGGATATCGCCCATCATGCCATCGTAATCGGCAGGCAGAGCATTATGACCTCTCACCCAACGAGCTCACAGTGGTCGGACCTTACGAATCAGGTATTGCTACGACATTCATGGTGAGCGAATGAATGTCGATGCCCCTGGTCGAAGGCGTGTTTGGTCAATGCTACTCGTGGAGCACGTCTGATGGTCCGAAGAACGCTTATTACAAAGTCGAGGGCGATGGCCCCCATAAAGGCTTATGCCCGCGTCTTCCTCACGAAAGCGAACTCATGCCACACGTTAAGGCCAATCAATACCTTGAAGTCGGACTGGTCATCGGCGAAAATCCTACCAAATACAAACCGATAGGGTTATCCCGGAATAAAGGACGACAAGAAGAAAAGACAGCCAGAGGAGTTTTGGACTGCAGTCAAAATGTAATGCAAGCCTTTATTCGCATCGGCGAGTACATCCAACCACAGGCAAAGCTGTTTGTTGGCTGTAGACTCAGAGATGGCCACTTGCATGCTGCGAAGATCACGAAGGATTGTATCTTCTATTATCATGAGTTCTATGGTGGCTATGATGCCTTGAAGATGCAAACAAAGTCACGAGATGTTCTCGTGACCAAGGCATGCAGGTTTTATGCTGCAACGACCCGGGAAGTGCCTCCGAAGCCCAAGGTCATTGTCTCATGGAGCCAAGAGAGCGCCCCAGCTAAAAAAGAAAGAAAAAAAAGAAAGAAAGAAAAAAAAATACCAGACCTTAGGAAAGGTATCCTAAACTCATCCTAAATGTATCCTAAACTTGTACTAACTTTATACTAAGTTACCTAAATCTTTTTATTATTTAGGATTTAGGTGCCAAGTTCTCTTTCCTCCGGGGCATATAGACACAACTATCCTTGTCAATACACAAACCGGCGACATCAGGTGTATGACCTCCATATTAGACTCATTCGCTCAGTTCAACACAGACAGACTGTACTCCCCTCAGTATGATGATTGAGGGGAGAATGCCTTCTTTCACGACAATGTGGACGAACCACTCTCAAATCAAGCCATGTCGAGTCTGGCCACTGAGTTCAAAGTGAGCGCTGCTCTTTATTAAGTAACTATATGTGTGAAACTAATCTATACGCAGAAAGCCTGGCCTGTACACACAGACCTGAACAAGGAGGTCGTGCAAGCTGTTCGCCTAGTTCTTTGCGCTGAGCAAGTCGGCGGTTCGATAGTGCTAGCAAGCCTCCCACGATCATGCATATTCTACTTCCTCGAACTCTGTCAGTTGCTGATCACACCTGACGATGATGGTGCCAACATCAAGGTCTGAGCTATCTTCACGTCAACGCAAGTGCACGCCAAGTACACGACTTGCACCCCAGAGACTGCTTCAACTGTGATGTGCGTTGCACCTTGCCCGATGTTGACATTCCGGGGAGTGAAGAGGAACCGAATGCAAACCAAGAGCTATCGGACTGGTTGGTGGCAGTATGCGAGCATCTACGAACGATCCAATCTTCATCACGCGCTCATGCCGATGAGAGGGCCGAGAGACATGGGCTCGTTCTATCAAAATCCATCGACGGTGTAATGACACACTCAACAATGCGATCGACGTCAGCGCTCTCTGCGCCGGTTTGGAACAACTGGCTTCCATCCACGCGTGTTTACTCGCCAATAACACGGCATCCCTTTCCCGGCAGCTCGGATCCGTTATAGACGGCATTGAGAAGGGGATTCTCCGACTGAGAGCAGATGGCTGAATACATTTCGCACTTGAGTATGCTCCGATGGAAGGATACCATCAGCTTTCATCTTGCTTTGCTTCGATTCTGGGCGAAGTCTGCCTGCGACTATCTCAAGCATATACTATCTTGATTATGTATGTAGCCAGCTATTCCAGGAGGGGTAACATTCAAGGTGGAATGTCCCGCCTGACAAGAGCGCACGGAAATGCGCACAACAGTTACAGGTTCACACGAAAATAGCAACACAACGTCAACAATGAACCAATAATTTATAGTTATAATAACAGTCGAGCTTGGCATGAAACTCATTTACATATATATCCTTGGGCTTGGGCTTGATAATATCCGCTGTGCTTTCTCATGGTCACAAACATTGCAGATTGTGGGATAGACGACGAAGTAACGTTATCTGGGGATGAACATTCACGAATTCGTGAATGAACAGCAATGAGATGTTCTGGTATTAGGTATATGGTCAAGAGCAACATTTAAATACCAAACTGTCGCATACGAGAACAGTCGTCTTGTTCACTCAGCATCACAATGCCTTCCACCGTGAACATCCACTTTGCACTGGTAGAACATTCACTGACATGCTCAGCCAACATCATCTCAAAATGCTACAAATTCACGACCTTCTCTTCCTAACATCTTCAACCATCTCAAGAACCTGGTGCTTCAAAATCCAGACTCCAAAGCAAGGTAAACCAAGAAACTCACTAATCAACGGACATTATGCCTTCCATACAGGAAAACAAGTCCAACCTTACCGCTATAACGAAGAACATCAAGCAACAAGACCTCATCAACATGTCCGCCGACGCCGCAACGATCGAGGCTTGCTACACTCTCATCGCCATGTCCCGCGGCACCAACGAAATCATGCAACACTGCCAAACCTCCAATTGCAACAAGTCAGTCAAGACCACTTTCTATTGTAAATCCTGTCAGGCTCGTGCTCGTGCTCGTGCTCGTGCTCGCACTTGTGCTAGTTCTCACAAGCACCAGTACTCGACTCGATCCAAGGCTCGAAGTAATGAAGATCGAATTAATGCTGACGCGATATTAGTCTGACAGGTGAGCTCCTAATCCGAACTAAGACAGATGGCTGAGCCATCGGCGTTTGAGAGCGGTAAGGAGTAGGATACTCTAGGAATGGTAGCTGCTTCATCAAATAGTACAGACTAAAGAACCTCCAAGTGAGTAAGTAGAACCAAAAAATAAAGTCTTTCTTTTAGTACGCGCTGTGTCAATAGCACAAGTAAATCTCTCTCTAACCCAACCCCCCCAAACTCCAAAACTATGTACCGTTCGCTCTTCGTCCACCTCTAGTACTCCTATCAACATGTCTCTTAAGAACCTTCCTCGTCTCCACCAAACTCCTCTTATGCTTGCTCTTCGCCTTGCCCATCGTCATAAAGATATTCTTGTTGCGCTGCTTCTCCCTATTACTCGTGCTCTTGCCCTGGGCCTGCATCTTGGACTTGCTGATAGCCCGCGTGCTCTTGTGCTCCTCGCGGTCTGGCTTGCCCTCCTTAGCAAGCGCGACACGCTCTTCCTTGGTGAGCTTGCGGAGACGCGCCGGCGCTTCGATCTGCTCGGCGGTGAGGCCGTCGTCGCGGTGGCGGTCTTCTTCTTGCTGGCGCTTGCGGCGGTTGCCCATTGCTTTGTCGATCGAGGCGGACATGCGGAGTTCTTGGAGCTTGGCGAGATCGGCCGGTGTGAGGATGGTTGTGGTGGCGAGCTTGGAGATGCGGTCGATTTCGGCCTCCTTCTCCTCTAGAGCCTTCTTAGTCTTTTCGTCCATAACAGGTTCTTCGTCTGTCTTTTGCTTCTTTGACGCAGGCTCGTCTTCGTCATCCTCCTCATCGGAAGAGTGATAGACATTAATCCAGTCTCCAGACTCGCTGCTGTCATCAGAAGCAACCTCCCACTCGTCAGACTTGTTTCCCTCATCCTCTTCATCAGTAGCAGCATCCTCTGGAAGACCCTTGGCAAGTCGCTTCTTCTTCTTTTCCTCCTCCTTCCACTTCTCCAGAAGCTCCAGACCCTCAATGCCGCCGACATCCTCTTCACCAAACTTGCGCTGGGCCTGGAAACCAGCCTTCAGGTTAATAGTGGCATTCTTACCACGGTCTCGCTTCTTCAAAAGCTCGGCACCGACCTCTCGGTACAGTGACAAGAGACCCTTGGCAGCCATCATAACACCCTTGTCCTTGCTCTTGCGGTACTGGACCAAATCTTGTAGTAGAGTATCGGTCATAGCCAGGGGTTGACGAGCGCAAATTTCGCGAATAGAGTTTAGACCAGCAGCGGCGACCTCGGCGGCCGAAGCTTCTGAAACGAACTCGTTTGCAATCTTCTGAATAAGGGGCTCCAGCACATCAGGGGGCACCAAGTTATGGACTGCCTGCGCCAATGAAGCCAGGAAAGAAGTAACAGACTGTTGTCGAGGAGTAAGGAACTTAATGAACCAGGAGTAGAGCGCCACAATAGTCAACTTGTGCAGACCAACAAGTCGGGTAACGAGTTGTGTCACTAGAATCTTTGTATCGAGAGATAGCTTCGCCTTGGTGTTTTGTAGGTGTTTCGAAAATAACTCCTCAGCAAAGTTCTGAGGATCGTGGAGAAGATGAAGAGCGGAGAAGTTGAGAGGATGAGGCTTTGTCTTCTTGCGCTCAGCGCGCTTGACCTTATCGACAGCCCTGTCGTACTGCTTTTTCGACTTCTTGGTCTTCTTGTTGATACCCATCTGATGCTTGACCTGGCTCAGGTCAACTTCCTCATCACTGCTCTCGTCCTCAAGCTCCTCACGCTCCTTGTCTCCACCCAAGAAGAAGCGAACAGCACCGACAACAACCTTCTCGTTGTCAGACAGACAAGCCTCCTTCATGACATCAACGGGCTTCGCATCGGTCCAGAACTGTCGCTTCCACATCTCGCGTGTGAGCTTGATGGCCCAGATAGCTCGAGGAGAGGATCGATCGGCGGTGACGAGGTTGTAGAGAACGGTCTGAACGGTTCGGTTGAGAGGGTGGTTGATAGATTTCGTGTTCGAGTTTCGCAGATCGCTCAGGATTTTCTGGAACAGAGTTTCACGTAGCGTTTTGCTGGGCGACGACACGAGGATGGGAAAAAGCGTGGTGAGGACGCTGGTCGAGTCGATAACTTCCTTTCTTCGCAGCAAGACCAGGCTTCCCACGATCTTCTCCCGTAGCTCGGGGTGCAGAATGACATGGTGCTGTGTGAGAATGGACTTTAGGTCGTCGGGGAAGGTAGCAGTCTCTTCCTTGTAGCAATCGGCGACGTGAGCGATTAGATCGATAATGTTGTGGAAAGACTCGACAGAATCGGCGGTCGCAGTGCCAGGAGAGACCAAGAAGATCTCACGCTGAGCCTCATATTGTTCCAATTGCTTCAAGAACTCTTCCTTGTACGACCTAGCGCTTCGTATCAGTATTTAATCGCGGTGTCGAGAATTAAAAGACGTACTTTGGATCGCGGCGGATTTTTTGTTGCAGACTCGCGCTGTGGAAAATGTCAGTGAAGGGTCAAAAAGAAGCGGAATCGTTTCGCAATTGACGTACAAGTCAGCATCGAGCTTCTCGAGCGCAGCGACCTTTCGTTTGACCATTGCGACGTCGAGGCTCTCGCTGTTGATCCGTTGATGTAGAGCGGGAGGGTGGGGGATTGGTCCCTTTGAACTTTGTCTGCGAACGAAGAAAATTTGGGAGATTTTCTGGCCGATAAGATAAGCTCATCCCCACGCGGAATTGGACCGCGGTTCTAGGCCTCGACTCTCAACGCTCGCAACAGAAAGACAATTGTAAGTTGAATAAAGAAAATATTAAATAGAAAATTGAAGAGAACAAAGCATGAGTCCAGATAGACTCATTACATGCAAGGTCGTTGATTTGGTTAGGAGAAATAACACTACCTTAAGTCTATTCTGATGTCCCACATTAGCGTTTAGCCATATAATTAGAGCAACATGAAGCTCAATCGTCCGTAGCCATCATGCTGTAGATTTAACCTTTGCCCCCTTGACTGTCTCTTCAAATAGCATCCATTGCGATTGATGTGTGAGGAGAGATGATTCATCGCAAGGGAGGAGAGGCAGTCCATGCGTTGAGAGAGTGCTGAGCGCCAGTTTCACCCAAATCTACCTACACAATGATCAAGATGTGATCTCAAGATGACGCCAGATGAAGAGCATTGATCATCGTTAATCGAACCATTTGATGTTTCTATTTTTGGTTAAGGTACAAACGTGCGGCACGTGGGGGCCTCGTGGGCTGGCATGATGCGAGGAGAAGGAAGGTGCGGTAGCCTGATGCTCAGCCTTATTACAACGACATGTCATGATGAACATTATCAATTCAAGGCGACATTGAGTTTGTATGTAAACAGTCCTCTAATGAGTTCTTTCTGGATACTAGATTGCTCAATCAACATCATTTCGTCCAATTGGTCCCAGGGCGCCGTTGGTGCCAGTTGCGAATAGCTTCACATATCAGTCATGATGAACAGAACAAGTAGATATAAGAGTCCACAAACTCCCAGTCTATGATTTCAGCGTAAAAAGAGACTATTATACAACCTTTCGGCGGGGTATCACCCGTCTGCTGCCCATTAATGCGGAAAGGTATCATAGGCAAACATGAGTCTAACACGAGCATCCCCCCTCCACCAAAAGATCACTTTTTGTTTCCCAGACAGCGAGAGCATATCTGGACGTCATCCGTAAGCTCCTGCCAAGCTGTTTTGGCATTAACAGCAGCTGTTGTTACAAGTAGGCCCAGCTCTTGGGCAATACTTGGGCCACATTCCCCAGACTTCTCATATCACCTCTCGCACCCCGCGAATCTTTCTAGATGTGTTTAAATGCGCTTAAGCAGCGATTTCTACACCACCTGTAGCCCCCATTGCTGTCCGCGAGTTAGCCGGGTTTTTTTGAGTAGAAAATTGAGAGAAACTTACCCTTCTTGAGATCACCGTAGATGGCGAACTGACCGGCGGTAAGGGTACCGACCATGAAGAGACGGGCACCAATACCGGTGTAAGAGCCACGGATACCGAGCTCCTTACCGATCTTGATGAGACGAGAGACAGTGCCCTCACCGGGGAGACCCTTGGTCTTGTTGATCTTGGAAAGCATGGTATCGGCGGGCTGAGAAACAATGGCGGCGGCGAAACCGGCAATCAGACCAGAGCCAAGGTTGGCAACGGTCTGCATACCGTCGGAGAGGTCCTTCTTGGGGAACTTGCGGAAGACAGCCTCAGAGACCTTCTCGTAGACGACGAACTTGGCCATGGTGTAAGGGATCCTAAGTGGGAAAGTCAGCTTCCTGAAACTCAAGTAAGCGGTATAGCAGCAGAAATACTCACTGCTTGAAGAGAATGGGTCCGAATCCGGCGTAGAGAGCACCGAAACCCTCGTTCTTGACAATCTTGCCGAAGCCAGAGACGAGACCGCTGGCGTAGGTGGGCTCAGAGACGAGACGGATACGGGTGGCCTCAAGAGGGCAGAGAGCGATATCGGCGAAGAACTCAGCGGTGGCGGAAGAGGCAAGGTAGACAGCAGTTCGGTTCTTGGAGGCGGTCTCGTAGCCAAGAGCGTCGATCCACTGCTGCTTGAAGAACTCGTAACCACCGAACTTCAGAGCACCCTGAAGGAAGTAACCGGCGAAGGTAGGGCCGGCACCAGTGAGGAGGGCACCAGCACCCTCATTCTGGACAACCTGGCGGAAACCACCGACGAGACCGCGGTTGTAGGTAGCGGGGTCGAGCTGGATACGGGTCTTGACGCTGTGATTTCAGAGTCAGTATACTTGTTCTTCCGGTTCGGTTTGGTGCGCTTTTGCTTCTCCGTCATGGCTAACGAGGTTTGCAGTACTGAAAAGTGTCCATCTCGGGTCCCAATTGAGTTTCCCCGAGACAACCCGCACAACCACAAAAACCCTCTCAAGCAATTGACGACGAGAAACTCAGCGCAGAGGCGATTCAAACATACACATCGACGGGGGTGAGACCACCGTGGGTGACGGAACAGCAGACAGCACCGGCAAGGGCGAATCGGGAGTAGAGAGCAAGACCAGACTTCTTCTCGGGGGTCTCAGCCTTGATGTTCTGGACGACGGCGTCGACCTTTGTGGAACCGGTAGAGGCAGCCATTGTGAATGGTTATGTGATCAGACGTGAAAAAAAGACTGAGGGGAGATGGTGGAGTGAAAAAGAAGAAGAAGAAAAGGGAGAGAGAGAGAGCTTCTGGTGTTTTGAGTGACTTTTTTTTTTACTTGGTCCCGCGGCGGAGCAGCTGGGGAAAGGGAAAAATAATGCCTCCTTTGCCATTGATTTTTTTTAGAGCTCGGGAAGACTCGGATAATCGGCGCCGGCGAATGCACGGACCGGGCCAAGGGGAGGGATGCTACGCAATTTGTGTCCGTTAGGTAACAAACTCAGCGCCAGAGACTGGCTTTTCGCACTCATGATGCCCCTATATCATGCCTATCCACTGGCTCACAGCGACCAACAGATCATGAATACTCGCAAGACCCGGGGTAACAGGAGAAATTGGAGAATGTCCCCCCTGTTTAGCCTCCCAGAAGCAAAGTTGGCCAGTGACGTTATTCCCAAGACCGCTCTTTCGGTGTAATCACCATACTACATACAGTATCTAATGTATGTAACCTGATAACTGACTGACATTTCTCATACTCCGCCAAGACCTAGGCATCAGTGAGTTTATAAATCTCTTCATCTTACTCTCCCAAAATGAAGAAAATACCAGATGTTGGTGAACTCTCACAAACTGTGCTCCCCGAGAATTCCTCGGGCAGACCCACCAGTAACTAACCGTTGCTCGCCAACGTGTCCACGGCATTGGTTGGATAAGACAAAGAAAGACAAGGTTTTTTTTTTTCTCTTGCGTGCTTGTGTATTTTATTACCGGGTCAGCCAATGGATATTGCACGATAAGCAATGTCTCCCCTGCTTGACTCGGTCTCGGAGGTTAATCAAGTTCGCGACAGTGCGTTTGTTCTTCTATCCGTAGTTCGACGTCATACCCTCATGAAGATGATACTCAGATAAATGAAAGACTCTGGAGGATATCAATGTCTTTGTAAACGGATTTTTGCAACATTTCCTCTTCTGTCTGGTGGACACTTCGACATGCATTCAGCCTGATGCAGCCCTGATAGGTGCATCTCAGATCAGTCGCCGATTTCACCAGCTTGAGCCGATACTGAACCACCTTAATTAACCATCATCCCTGTTCAGCCAAGCTGAACCTTGTGTTTCTCCCTTATCCCCGATAAGGATCTTACCACCGATACCAAAGTCTCCTTTGTCTTTCAGTGGAAGAACATCACAAATAAGTAAGTGTCTCAGGTCATGACATCTTGTCAACTTACACGAACGCCTGATTCTATCACTCTTTCCCGAAGTCAATCGGTGATTGAGAAACTTTCCTGATTCGGATATTGAATCAACATGATTGGTTCAATTGTTTACTGTGACGTCGTTGAGGCTATTCACAGTAGCAGAGCATTATCATCTGTGGCCTCACTTATGGCTGAAGCTCGTTTTACATCACGTGTATATCAAAAAGATTATGCAAGAAGATTTGGGTTAATCATAAATCATCAATGTAGCAGTACCTTGCTATCGTAGGCCCCTCATTCCCTATCATCCTTACCATCCAGATCAAACAATTTCAGGACATTCTGATTATCATAAGCCGTCACTAAATCCAAAGACGACCGCCCATCAACATCCTCCGCCAAAGGATCAATTCCCTTGTCCATAATAGCTTTAAACAATTGCTCCTTCTCGTCCGCCATTTCATGAAGAATAGTTCTCCTCTTGTCGTCTCTCGCCTGCCAATCTACTCCCAATCCATCCAACCAATTCACCACCTCCTCCACATTGTCATCATCATAGCCTCTCATGGCAAGAAAGAACGCTGGTGTCTGGCCAGCATTGTTGCGCCCATTGATATCCAGTCCCAACTCCAAGAACCGCTCAAAAGGATCTCGAGTATTACTTCCATCATAGCAGAGACACCCAAGGAGGCCAGGGGCAAGGTAATGCAGCGCGTTGTTTCCAAGACCATCAGTGGCAAGCATATCCGCCCTGTGTTATGATATAGTCAAGCCAGTCGGGCTCAGTTTGGTCAAACTCGCCATGCGCCAGTGCAGCTAGGCCATAATGGAGTGGCCGATATCCATCAGCATCATTCTGGTTGATCAAGGCCGGTACAGCATTCCCTAGGTCCTTGAGTCCTTCCAATTTATCATCGTTCAGAGCTCGAGATCCGAGTTTAATATGAAGTGCGTTTCTGCCGAAATTATCCACTGCATAGGCATCAGCCCCTTTGTCGAGCAGGAGTCGTAGAGGTAAATAGTCTTCTCTAGCGCCCCGAGGACGCCTACTTGACACTCGCTCACACGCAGCCAGAAGAAGAGTCTCCCTAGATGCATCGCGGAACTCCATATCAAGATCGGCTAACTCTAAGATCGGCTCATAGACACGTTTTCCTTTCAAGATTTCGTGCACAACTACCCTTTCAGCCATAAAAGGTGGTCTGAAAATGTGAGGACTCTTAGCATAGGAGATAAACTCAACCGTGGAATCCTTCTTGTGCCACGCATGGGTCGCTATAGCCATTGGTAGGGAAGGTCTGTTTGGCAACCGAACCTTTTCAACGATGACTAGGCATTTGGCATACGGACTGAAGCCAGCTCCGAGGAGAGCTTCCATCATCTGCTTGGCGGCAGCATCACGATCGAATTCGACGCCGCCCCGAAGCGTGCCCAATGCGGAGCTTGCCAAGAGCAAAGGATGACCTTGTCGTATCATCTGGGCTTCTTGCGGGTTTACATCAGGATCCAACTCCTTTGCGTACTGTAGTGTCATCTCCCAAGACGCCGCAAGGGAGGCAGACTTTTCGCCAGACAGCAGAATGCTCAAAATGTTCGGGTACTTGGACTCAATCGCAGAAAGGATAGTGGTTGGACTGACTTCTGCTCCATGACCGACTAAGAGTCTAACAAACTCTTCTTTGTGTGCTGCTTTATTCAGACATCCATTTCCCTCGGAATCGACGACGTTCACGTCGGCTCCTTTATCGATCAGCAGCTTCATCGCTGCAGTCCGGAAGGCACCCCATTTTGTGAAAGAATAAAGCAGTGGTGTACATCCCTTGTCGTCTCTAATTTCCATATCTGCGCCTTTAGAAAGCAAGTATAGCATGGCGTGAAAGACTTGCCACCACTCTTTGCCAGTGACTAGAACATGAAGAGCAGTAAGACCGCCACGACCTCGTGCGTTTATGTCGACTCCTTTTTCCTCTACCAAGACACGAATGGCTTCCATATTGGGAGAAGAGCGTCGACAAGCCGTCACAAGCAAAGGCTCAAGCTCTTCCGCGCCTTGTTCCTTTATCCGTTTAGGATCATCAAACCTTACTGCCTCTTCAGGAGAACAGCAGTCACTGACTAATTCATAATAACCATATTCGACGAGTCGCGAAATGATCGACACACCCTCGGCATCGACAGCAGTATAGTTCGCACCAGCTTTGTACAAGTTCGCTACCAAAGCGAAGTGGCGGTCCGACAGCAATCGTGCCACTCTCTGCCATTTTGTTTCTTTTGCACGTGGTATGAATGACTCACCTAACACCGTAACCTCTGCTTGACGGAGAGCTTTGCTTCTTGATATTCCAACATGAAGAGGAGTAGGGAGTTCCAGATGCCCAGCTTTCTCCTGGCAGTTCCAGAGGAGGTTCGTAATGTAATCCTGCCACTCGTCTGATGCGAAAAGCATCGCACGATAGAGTGCCGACCTTGGACCGTGTGCTCCCAGAAACACATCTGCCCCTGCGTCAAGCAAAGCGTTGATGATCTCATCATATCGCGATGCCTCATACACTGGATCGAGGACTTCAAGTTGAGGTCCTGATACGATCTCATCAAAGTGCCTTTCCTTGTTCTCGACAGTGTAACCAGCCGCGATGTTTGTGTCAGGATCATTCAACTGGTGAAATGGAAGCTCATCATCACTTGGTATTTTCTTGACTGGTCCGCGCCTCCAGAGACGTTGTTCACGGTCAAAGAATGCACACTGAAGAATTGGAGGGAGCCAGGGTTCAGGACAGCATGTCCCTCGAAATTTATCAAACGTAGGGTTGACCTCAGCTCCTGCTTCGATCAAGAGTTTCACAGACTCGATGATCCCAGAGCGACTGGCGTAATGCAATGGCGTGTATTGGAAAATATCCTTCTGGTCGAGTGCCACTTTCGCGGTGTCGGGATTTAGCTCGTGCATGCGCTGAAGTAGCAGGCCAAGACTGTTACTTCTCTTACACCTCGCGGCGATATGTAGAGCATTCATGCCTTGGTTTGTGGTAACAAATGTATCTGCACCGACGCGCAACAAGCGGTCGACAGTGTAAGTGTTCGTGGAGGCGGCGAAGTGGATGGCCCTCAACCCACGGGTATCTGAAGCGTTGGCATCGGGTGATTGTTTCAGGAGCCATCTCAAGCAATCTTTTGCATGGTAATTGACCCCATGACTTCCATCCAGACGCATGCGGCAGGCCAGATGCATGGGTGTCGTGCCAGCATAGTTGGGTTGGTTTACATCCAATCCCGCCTTTTCGAAAAGTGAAAGGAACATCTCTCCTTTACCTGATAGCCTTGTTGCATTGGGTGCGAGAACCAACTCGTGGCATAGAGTGTTGCCGTCTAGGTCCACGGCAAAGGGTGAGGCACCAGCGTCAAGAAGGTATTGGTAAACATCGGTAAGTCTCCTTTGTGCATAGTCAAGGTCGGTAATGCTATGGATTGCTTCGTGAAGGAGGGTTCGCCCATAATTGTCGCGGACGACCAGACTTGCGGAGGCCTTGATAAGGATATCAAGAATATCAGTCATCATGGGTTGCTTTGGATATTTGCCCACGGCCCGGAACAAGGGTGTCCGACCTCTGATGTCCTTGGCATCGATCTCAGCTCCATATTCGAGTAGTATACGCAGACATTCCTCTTGGTGGGTAAACCCCTTGGCGACAAGAATATGTAAAGGCGTCTCTCCATCGATATTTGTCAGACTCGGATCCGAACCAGCTTCGAGAAGTTTTCTCACAACTGACAGTAGATTACTCTCTCCATTCTTCCAGCCATCGTCTGCAGAGTTCCTAGGCGAAGACATTCTCTCATAATGAGCAAATGCGTAATGGAGAGGTCCATTTCCTTCGAAATCAGTGACAGTACAATCGGGACTATATTTCAGCATCTGGAAAGCAAGGGCTGAATCATGATAGAGAGCAGAAAGAAGAGGTGTCCTGCCTTTGATGTGTTCTCTTTTGTTGATGTCCACATTCCCCTCTTGCAACAGCAGCTTCAGGTATTCTTCTTCACCTTTCTTCGGCAGGCAGTGCAGCGCGATCTTCCCATCCTTTGTCTCAGCATTTGTATCAGCGCCCTCTGCGAGCAGACGTCTTAACACGTGCGAAAACTGCGCAGAGTGTATAGGAGCACGACCCAGAGAATCTCTCTCGTTGACTTGTGCACCAGCTTGGATAAGCAATGCCAAGTTCCGATCAAAATCTGAACAGTTCAAATCCGACATGTAATGGGGAGAGATGTATGGCCGACGTATGAAATGAGACTGTGGCTCACACAGCTCTATCAGAGGAGTCGACCAAGGACGTTCCAACACATTCTCTTGTTTGTCCCAGACGTCGGCCTTCACCCTACAAACAATAGAAGCATCCGCGCCAGCATTCACCAACACCTCGACTGTTTCAACACAGCATGTTCTAGCAGCGAGAAAGATAGGTGTCTCAAATTCTGTATTGTCATTCGGATCGACATCAGACTCCTGAAGTAGGCGTTTAACGAACTGGGGCTGTCTGTATTTTATGGCGATGCGCAAGGCAGATTGTTTCTCGGTAGTGTTCAGCAATGGAAGCATCGCTTCTAAGCTGTTGACATGGCCGTATGATGCTACATATGACAGTGGTGTATCTGCATAGTCTGTGGTTGGTTCGGTGTCTGTTGGGAGACGTGGCACTGTAGGAGCTATTCCCTTTTCAAGAAGCAGCTGGACAACTTGTGCTTTATCCTTCTTTGCAGCTACATGCAATGCCTGGTGGCCTTGAATGTCATGTGTACTAGGCGATGCCCCCTGTTTTAGTAGCAACTCAATGATATCTGCGTGACCGCTGGAAGCAGCCCACCACAGGGGGGTTCTCTTCCTTGCGTCTTGCTCGTCTATGCTCTTCTGACCCAGACGATCAATCAGGGCCGAGATGCACGCTTTGAGGCCGCACAACGCAGCGACATGGAAATCCGACATGGAGGTGGTGTCTTCTTCAACCCTCACTCTTTCAGGGGCATCGAAGTATGTTGTCAGCCAATTGTTTCGTGTCTCCTTATTTCCCAAGAACAATTCAATTTGTTGATACAATAAGTCATTTTGCAAGCAATTCCATTCAGATTTTGCAGCGTGCGCATGCCAATTCTTTATAGCATACGATGCGAATGGAAAATCCAGGTTGCGGTTGTGTTCGCGATCGATAGTTTCTGACGGAGTAAGAGTTTCATCTTGAAGGCAGCCAGCGCAGATATATCGGAGGCAAGCGAGAGCAAGATCGTAGTGAGTCGGCGAGGAATCCAATATAGGATAAGCAGGGGTATGTACTGTTCTTGACGTCCCAACCAAAAACTCGGTGAGTGAATGGTGCACAACGCTTACAGTCTCATCTGGTAAGACCTCGATCAGAGGGCCACACGCAGCCCGAACCAGATCTTTGTTCTCTTTCAAACTATCTGGGAATCTACTTCCCTCGACTGTCTTGAGCATATCGGCGAGCTCTAGCAGTCGTAGAGGACGAGTCGCGTGAGTCACCCATTGCAGGATCAGCACCTGCGTATTCTCTGGAACGCCGGATCTCCGAGCATGCTCTCGTAGAATTCCGATGTACATAGCGTCCAAATCAAGCGGAAGCTTGCGGATCGCCTCATGAATGTCGGCTTCTGGATCTAAGAATGATTTCATGGCCAATTTAGCGTAGAGGAACAGACCGTTGGCTCGGCCAGGTACCGCTTCCTTGACAAGGCGTTGATCGCGCTCAGAAAGAGAAGTGCCAGATAGACAATATCTCACGTAAGAAGAGATATCGACATCCACAGCCTTCTCGTCCATTCGGATGTGAAGAAACCTCGTGCCTCTCATTACGGCCTCGATGCTGGAAGTGGGTCGGCTGGTCAACAATACCTTCACAGATGAAGGCTTCCAGTTACCAAGTTTAGCCATTTGGTTGATGAATTCGCTATTACCGTGGTCCATTTCGTCCAACGCGTCTGCCACGCAATAGACCCTGGGCACAGATGCCAGAGCTGTTCTTAGGTGTCTCCATAGCTCGTCAATCGACAAACTATCCAGGTCCCGGCACTCGTCAACATAAGCCTTTAAAGATGCCTGCAGTGGAGGACAGTAGACGAGAATCTGATCTAGCCAGTCTCTGAGAAGGTTGATGGGCCGATGATTGGCATCAACAATCTGCCGAAAGAAGAAGTAAAGAACTGGGCTTTCTTCTTGAGAGAGTTTATGAATCATGCTGGCTGCAATAACAGACTTTCCAGAGCCTGGAACTCCTTTGATCCACAAGAGGCCATCTTCCTGGCTCTCATGCCATTTGAGGTAGTTCTCTGATCTGTGGATCCATTCTCCAGTACCTTCGAGATGGAATACCAAATGTTTGCGATATTCGCTGCTTTCGATATCGTATTCTGTAGGTCGCAGCCACTCACGAATCCGGGTAATAGTAGCTTCAGATTGCGGTAGGATATTTCCCGAGTTATAATTGTTGGTGTCGTCTTTACCAATAATCACAATGTCACTGCCGTCAGACATATTGCTCGACGGACTGAAGAGTATGAGTGGAAATGTTCCAATTCTTTAGTTTGCAGAAATGGCCGATTCTCAACGCCAATTCCATATTAATACAACACGATGGAAAGACAAGTGATTGTCCAAGGTTGTAAGAGGTGAGAAGGAATATTAGGCTGCAGTCAGCAAAAGGCATGGATTAGTTCACCTGATGATCCTAGCGAAAGGACTCCGTAGTCCGTAGGACTTGCCGACTGACATTGGGTACTAGGTACCTTCTTGGTCGAATCATATGAGAAGGAGAAACATAATGATCATGATTTGGAAGTTGGACACACATGTGATGAATACAGCCAAGTTTAATTGAATAAAATGGTATTCTATCAGAGGTGAACTGCCGATTCTGTTATACAATGCCCAGAAGGAAACAACTTAAAAGGCTCCAATTCTATCCCCAACGCCACGCTAAAAGTTCACAGCCACAAGCCTCCCGATCCTGTCTTACAACAACACATGTGTCCATTGATATGCTCATTTCGTTCGATTAAAGTCCCTGTCGAAAGCCATAGTCTTATCCATGCCTTGCCATACACCGTGACCAGTTCTTTCGCCTGTGACGTAGAAGCGTTCTGTGGGGTCTTGGGTGGTGGCCCACTGGTTAAGCATGGTGCTGTTGGAAGCGGCCTGGCCACCCGTGTAAGTCGAGCCACCAGAGGTGTTGCTGTAGGCCGGGTAGTTGTAGGATCTGAGAAATGACTGTCAGTGGATCATTTTCGACATGTAAGTTTTCAATGACTTACTGGTTGGCCGTTGAAGACGGCATGTTGGTTTGTTTTGTTGGTTCAGAAGTATAGTATAGGTACTGATTGGTTGGTCATATGGTTGCTCTAAGCTCAAGTTGCAGTGATAGGTTCAAAGGTAACAAGACAGTCAATGTATTGATGATGATATCAAAATCTTTAATCTAGGGGGATCACCTTCTATTTAAGATGAAATAAATCAAGTAACTCTTCAATCGCAAACACGCAGAAAGGGGACTTTGAGCAGCCTCAAACTGGAAAAACACCACCATCAACCTCTCTCAACTCCAGCATCCGCGATCCCCCCCCCCAAAAAAACGGCCCCCATAAACCACGGTCGCGCAGAAGCGTAGAGGCAACAAAGTCAACCGCCAGGCCATCAACACCACCGTGAAAGCCTCAATTGGACGGTGGCGAAAAAAAGCAAACTGAAACGGAGACTGCGCCGCGGACAGTTCAGAGGAAAAGTTGAATAACTCAATGTTTGGCGGAAATGGGACCCGTCTCATACACCCGCAATTGCGCAGAACTCAAATCGTTAGAAACACCAGCCACAGAGGTAGCCAAGATAGTGGCTCAGCAACCCGGCCGGCCCCCAAAGATAAGGTACCTATTGAGTATGAAAAGTACTTCGGTGGGAGTTTAACGCTCATTTGCGGCAACTTGCAGATAGTATGTTACATTGTCTTCACGGATGATGAAAGGCCCTGAGTTGAGCGCTTTTCAGCATATTTTCACTAATGGTCACTGAGCGGGATGAACAGTGTAGCTGCGCCACAGTTTCAATCCAGGACGGTTATCATCAGTGTAACGTCAGATTGGTTGACTTACAGTTCCCTGTGATCTAATCTTATTGGAGGCCTTCCCAAACAATTTGCTGCACGTTTCAGGGCGAAATCGGTTCAAAACATATGGGCTATGAGGGAGGCAATTATCACGATGCTGACAAGTTCATAACGGCCGTCATGAAGCTCAATGCATCCCTGGAAATCAAGACCATGTAGATTGTTTTCTGTCGGTCATTTGCCACCCTCTCGAGATTGCATTTGCGAATTTGCAATTTTGACGAAAGATCATTTTTGTCTAGGTAGAGAATGGCCGCACAAGGGGTTTGAGTAGGCTGACCTGGCATGCTTGTTGAATGCTAACTTCGGGAGGGAACCCATATCTGACATATGAGATGATTTCCTAGTAAATGTCAGTTTGACAGAGATCAAATTGAGTCGTGGTGGTCGAAGCGCAGCATTGACATGTCCTTGGCACATCGTAGGGCTAGCCTTATGATGCTGCCAGCGTTTCACCATTCACATGACAACTATGGAAAACCCATGGGCACAGACTACTTGAGCATACCTAGACGTAGTTCGAATACTAAAGTATCATATTGCTAAAACAACGAACATCTAACACTGTCACTGTTGTCTTTCATGGTCACAAGAGCAGATTGTTCATTTGTACCACATATTTCGCTACCCTACACCTGAAGCACGCAATTGGGGGATCTCATGATTTCACAAATAATCTCTAGACCATGGGCAATACTCGATCTAGGCTGACTGATCTCATTCAGTTTCGGTTCTTCTGTCAATTGTGATACAATAGTCTGATCGGACCTATATCAACGGCTTGTGCTTCACGTCAAAATAGATGCGAGAAATATGAAGTCAAAACCCTTTTTTGGTTGCGAGGGTTCGCATACATCATCTCACTCTGTGATAAACTACATCCTTTACCTGAGCCAATATTGAACATAAGAAAACAACAGACTTGGTAAGATCTCAGAGTCTCAAAATTATTCTCGAAGTCGTTATGGAATATGGACCCATTGCAGAGCCTCATTGTCCCACCGCTAAAGGCTCAAACCTTGAGCTCCATCAGCATTCCAGTGCATCGGCAATCGAAACTTTACATTCCAACGGTCTGCAGCCCTATTTGTAACTGCCGAGACATATCTGAGATATATGCGGTATGCATGTAGATGAAGTTGTAAGCTGCTGACTTTTGCCATGTTATATTTTCTCGTCAACAGTTCATCATCCACGGAAATTGCCTTCACCACTGAGGTCGTAAACCAAAGTGAGGACGCCATTCCATCCGAATTGAGGCAATGGGCCTCGGGATGCAACCGGTAAGATCGTTTGTAGCTGAGTCTAGCATAGATATTCTGAGGAGAATGAGATCTATCATGGGCGATCGAAAGGGACAGGGTCAACGGCCACTTGAGAAACCGATCATAGCACAAATGCGAGCAATGCAGCCCGTGGTTGATGTGAATTGAGAAATGGTACCTATGGTAACGCAGGCCAGGTTAGAGAGCAGCCTTCTATGCACAGAGTGCTGATCGAGGGGCAAGGCTATCATTATCAATTGAGGTCAGCATTGTGTTGAGATAGCCTTTCTGTTGCCTTAGAAGCTGGAAAGTCTATCGGTTGCGGAGGATCAGCGCATAACATTAATATGAGTCACAATGGACCCCAGATCCAGGCTCAAAAGGTATAGCAAATCGTTGACAAGGTGACGGGCATCAACAATGAGAATAACTCAAAACAACAACACTGCTGGGACTGATGGCTTCTTTAACTCACAGTTCACCACGTAGCACCTCCAGCACAACTTGACAGCACCACACCATCATCACACTCGCATTGAACAAAACAGCAAACTCGGGAGCCTCATTTCCGCAAATCCCAAGACTAGCCTCGCAAGCGCAACGCAAAAGCCCAGAATAGACGTGAGCTTGGCCAAGACGAGCTATTCGCAAAACTATTACTTCCAGTTTTCGATAGCTCAACGCTTCGACCATACTATGAAGAACCCCTGCGTTCAGCTTGGCCTCGACCTCTAGAGGCTAGAGAGGTCAACAGGGCTCCCCTCCCCTATCTGGGGCAGATCATCGGGACGAGCAGAGCTTCCTTCTTGGCTCCAGTTGTGGCAAAAATACCAAAGGCACCGGAGCGTGCGAAAACGAGAGTGAAGATGAAAATGAGATTTAGACTAGACTTCTCCGTAAATGACATTGCTTTTTTACTATACGACGAGGCCTGAGCACAGGTTGCCAAGGCATAATGGGCTGATAGGAAAACTCAGAGCCTCCGTGCATCACTCATCACTATGGAGATAGGATGCGCTGAACTGTAATGGATTAGGCCAAAACGTGCTGGTGAATGCCTGTATGCTTTTGCATCGGTAGCATGCTCCCATGACGAAAGGATTCCCCTTTTCCATGCTGCAGGCCAACACAACAGCAACGCGGCCAACGAAGAGCTCACCAAGAAGGGAAAAAACAGACTTAGGCGCGGTTTGAGAGTGACAGGCCTGCATGGAACTATCACCGTTGGCGTGGTGCGCTAACACAAATCGTCTCCGGTGACAGGGGCAGCATTGGTAAAGCAGAACGTGAAAGTGGACTACGTTTTATATGGGGAAAAAAAAGAAGCGCGATAGGAAATTGTAAGTACGCTTTGAGGTTATTTCGCACTGGAATGCGGCTTCGACCGATAGATCGTGTCCCGCTGTGAGACAAAACGATACAAAACGATATGACTCTCCACTCCCGCAGCCGCTGAATATTTTGAGGCTTGGATTCGTTGAATCAACTTCAGTTGAGGAGAGCGACAAGACGGGGATATTAATTGGTCCCTGGGGCTATCGTGTGGTAATGAGCAAGGATTTCTCAGATCGTGTTGAACCCTTACGATTTTTGTGCGACAAAATGCCACCTTGTAGGTCATGTTCCTTGCATTATCGCGATTTATCCATTTATCACCGGCAAGGTATTATTTTATGAACAAGGAAACAACTCAGGGGTAGGGAGTAGGGATCCTCAATGACCCAATGAGATGAACTAGATTGTTGAGAACTTGCGAATCAACCTCGGCGCATGGATCCGAAGCACTGACTGTTTATATATGCCAAAAAGTTTCAGTCAAATCGAGTGACAGGACGATGTCGAAACTTGACACCTCACAAAGGGTCCTATCACTCATGGATCATTGAGTATCGTCAACGAGGCTTCCCCAGTATAGCATCAGTGTCACCGTAAATAAGACGATTATAACTCCCACTACCGGTAGCACGACAGCCACCGTCAGGAGCGCTTTCGCATCGGACTCCTCCTTTTTTACCCCTAAAAAAAGAAACGATTCGTTTTATGCAGATGCATAAAACACACCCTCTCGCATGCGCGCAATTGCTTGCAATGGCTTGGGACCAAGTGGGCGAGTCACGGACGCCAATTGGACTCTAGAAGACGCCACAGCGCGAAAGATGCAAATTGCACCGCTGTCGTAGCGCTTCTTTCAAAGTGCCCCAAGCCACCAAACAACCGGATCTTTCGATGCCCGTTTTTTTCGTGGCAATTGCGTTCATCCTTCTTTAATCTCCCCCCTGGGTTAATGCAAGCCTTGACAAACCGTCTATGACGCTTGGTTATGTTTCTGTGTGTTTCCTTTGTCGGTACCATCCACACACTCTGGAGATTGCGGACGCTAAAATCTGCATGCTGTCAGGTACCCGAGCTTTCAGTGTTGATCGTGCGACGGTCATTGGCAGGTAACTGGCACACAAAATGGACGTTTTTGGAACCTGTGTGGTACCGAAAGAGAATCTGAAGGCTGTGCAATGCTATAAACGGCATTTGATGAAGATGAAAGAACCGAAAAAGGGCGAAAGAATACTCAACGGTGAAACAATATTGCCTTTCTTGTTCAAAGGATACACATAGTCGAGAAAGAAGACAGAAACAATAGAAAACAAAACGTCAGATGTGTAAGTTTTTGGACTACAAGCAAGTCATCATGAGGGGCTTCTTTGAAGCAGACCAAGGAAACAATTCCCACTTGACCAACGGCTTCTTCGGGTCATTGGGGGCTATGATCCTGCCATTCGTAGGCTACCATCACGATCGATGGGATTCCAGAAAAGATCTAGGTGATCATCATGACGATCAGTGAAAATTCGAGATGCCAAAACTTGGAATCTGCGGTTCTTCGGTCGTTATCGCTCCGTAGGGTAACGTATTGTCTGTCACTGTCTCTCACTAACAAAGCCGACATGGGTTGCTTAATTTCCTATTCTCCATACGATATTGCTCCGGAGAAGACGATAGAGTGAACACTAAAAATAACAAACCTTCTTTGATGCTACATAGCAGATCTAATGGCCAACAAAGGCTAGCAACAATACAAAGTGCCGATGACTAACAACTCGCGATTATAGTTGCATGAAGTTATACAGGAAATGAAGGACACTACCCCTATCGGTAACAGAAGCTAGGAAGCAATAGACAGCCTCAGCTGCTGGGATACTCCAGAAGGTTATTCGTATCAATCAAGGTTATCGCAAACTATCTGGTCCAGCCTTGAGCTGAAATAACGACGTGTAATAGCGTCAACAACCCAAGAAACCGGACTCTTTGGTGCGACATCCGACGAGAAACTATTGCTCAGCGACTCATCTCTGCTAGCTATTACAGCATTAGGCCTTGCAAGGTTCAATGTTTGTAGACGTCTGCCCGGCTCAAATAGACGAAAGTCCTTGTATGTTAATCCCAGCATCGTATCGCTCCACCGCAGCTCTCGGCGACTGCCTCTTAGCGACCCCCGCTAACAACGCCCGAAGCGGTTAGTTTAGCCACGATCTAGTCAGGGGTCAGGGGACCACCCCTGTGGAGACCCGACTCAGCGCACGATTACCCAAGTGGCTAACGACTTTCATCGTTCTTTGACCCGCACGCACTTTGTTCGACTGTTGTTTTTCCAACAAGCGCCTTTCACGGCCAAGGCCGGGCTGACGGCACAAGAGCCCGTTATTTACAGCACAGCACTGAGCAGGGCTCTCGTTCTGGATTAGTTCCATCTGCTCATCTCTCACATGGGTGTGAAGCCCTGCTCAATAGCGCCCTAACTAACGCGAAGCTCAGGCACACTATCAAATCTGGTGTATGGGTCACCCACCCACGCCCAACGGCGGCCCACGCCCGCGAGAGGATGGGAAGAGAGAGAGAGTGAGAGAGGAAGAGATGGAGGAGAGGCAGGGGAGGGGATGACCAGGCTCACTCTTTCGTTTCTTGCATATAAACACCATCCTCCGACCTACATGGGCATTCTTTTCCTTCCCACTCCTCTTCTTGTCACTCTTTCTTATAACAGTCTTCGCGGAATATAAGTAACTCTTCAGAGTTCTACCGCAGTCCATTCGTTCATTACTGAATCTGTACATTCTTTCCAACATAATGAAGAGCGTTACCTTTATGGCCATGGCCTTTGGCCTGGCTTCTGCCTCCGTTGTCATTGATCCCACCCCGGAGACATGCGAGTGTGATACCGATGACCTTTGCTACCAGGCTGTTCACGCTGCTGGTGCCTCGTACTGCAGCTACATCGATGCTTCCAACATCCCTTCAGCATGTGCCGACCTTCCGTCTCTCCAGGAGGCTTGCACCTGTGTCCTCCCCACTACCACCACAGCTGCTGCCGTCTCTACCACCGAGACTGCTAGCACCGAGGCCGGCACTGCCACAACAGAGACTGCCACCACTGAGGCCGAGACTGCTACCACCGCTAGCACCGAGGCTGGTACTGCCACTACCGGTACCACTGAGGCCGAGACTGCCACCACCGGTACCACTGAGGTTGACACTGCTACAACCGAGACCGCCACTACCAAGGTTGATACCGCTACCTCTGAAACCGAGACTGCCACCGGTGTCACCACCGAGGCTGCCTCCACCACCACTGCCCCTGCTGAGACCAACACCACCACCGAGGAGGAGGACTGCGACTCTACCACCGAGGAGCTCTCCACTGGTACTGAGACTGCCACTGCCCCTACCGGCACTGAGACCGCCCCTACTGGCACTGAGACCAAGACCGAGACTGCTCCTACTGGTACCGAGACCAAGACCGAGACCGCCCCTACTGGCACCGAGACCAAGACTGAGACTGCTCCTACTGGTACCAAGACTGAGACCGAGACCGCCCCTACTGGCACCGAGACCAAGACTGAGACTGCTCCTACTGGCACTGAGACCGAGACTGAGACTGCTCCTGTCAACACCAAGACCAAGACTGAGACCGCTCCTACTGGCACTGAGACCAAGACTGCGGGTGTTTCCACCACTGAGGGATCCCACGGTACCCAGACCACTGAGGCTACCGTCCCTTACACCACCAAGACTATCTACACCACCGCTACTCACACATACTCTAAGTGCCCTGACTACGTCAAGGACTGCCCTTACGGAACCCACGGTCCTTACACCGTCACTGAGACCGTTGCTGTTTCCACCACTGTCTGCCCCGTGACTGAGGAGCACCCCAAGCCTACTGGTTACACCACCAAGACCGTCTACTCTACCGAGGTCTACACCATCTCCAAGTGCGCTTCTACCGTTAAGGACTGCCCCTACGGATCCGTCACCACCAAGAGCTACCCCGTCTCTACCACTGTCTGCCCCATCACCGAGGAGCACTCCAAGCCTACCGGCTATGCTCCTCCTGAGTACACTACCAAGACTGTCTACTCCACCAAGATCTACACTGTCACCAAGTGCGGCCCTGAGGTCAAGAACTGCCCTTACGGTTCCGTCACCACTGAGACTGTCCCTGTCTCTACCACCGTCTGCCCTGTCACTGAGGAGCACTCCAAGCCCACCGGCTATGCTCCTCCTGCCCACAGCACTCTCTACACCACCAAGACCGCCTACCTCACCAAGGTCTACACCGTTACCAAGTGCGGTCCTGAGGTCCCCAACTGCCCTTACGGCTCTGTCACCACCGAGACTGTCCAGCAGACCACTGTCTACGCCACCGGTACCAAGGAGATTCCTTCTTACCCCACCGTTGTCGTTCCCAAGCCTGAGCAGCCTTCTCACCCCGCTCAGCCTGAGTACCCTGCTCCTAAGCCTTCTCAGCCCGAGACTCCTGCCCAGCCTGAGCACCCCGCCAAGCCTGAGCAGCCCGAGACTCCCTCCAAGCCTGAGCACCCTGCTTACCCTGCTCCTCCTGCTAAGACCGAGACCTACCAGGCTCCCGCTCCTAGCCAGCCTTCTGCCACTCTCCCCTACCATGCCCCCACTGGCACTGCCCCCGCTGTCGAGGTCACTGCCGGTGCTTCTCGCTTCGGTGTCGAGATGGCCGTCGCTGCCGCCGGTATCTTTGCCGTTCTTCTGTAAATGCATCATGGAACATAAAACTTTCCCTTTGCTGTTTATTTATTACAAACATAATAAGCTTCACTATGTACATAGTATGATTTAGACGATCTTGGCTCGGCCAAGTAGTGGTAGAAAGAATGGTTACGATTTTTGGATAATATTGTGTAATTTTGTCGTTGAAGATACCACATCAATTATAGACATATCTTAATACGTCTTTGTTCCTTGTGATGGCCAAAATGCCTTTTCACTTAGACTCGAACAACTGACAGACTGCTTCAAGCCCATGTTTTGCATTGAAGCTCAATAGCCCAGCCGTTTATCACGTGTAGTCACTTAACCCTTTGTCTTCACTAGCGTCTCCCTGCGATACCAGTTTTCCCAAACTCTATCTCCTTTGATTCATCATGTGGAACAGCGCTAGAACAAAGGAGAGGGGGTGAGCAAAACAAATTAGGGGACCGTTTCAATCAGATCGTTGGGATCAAAAGCAGGGCGGGCTTTCCCCGAAAGTCAAAAAAGATTTGTGGCCGTTGAGGAGAAAAAGGGGAGACATGTCTCTGCTCTGGAATGCGGGAAGCAGATAGTGGCACGTGAAAGGGTTCTAGAAGATAGGTGTGTTTTGAATGGAAATGTGGCTTTTGATTGCGGTGAGAGAGTGAAACGCAGAGAAAATGATAAAGGATGAATGATAATGAGTTGAGATAGAACCAGACTGCTAGAGGATTGTCTTGGACTGTTTTCAAGTTCTTTGAAGGGCAGAGGCTGCCTATGCAGGAGTGTGTGATAGAATCATTCGGAGGTCGAAGAATAGCCGTGATTGGCTCTTCAGAACGAGACAAAGGGAAGCAAACTCACTCCTTGAATGAGCCCCATGAATCGTCTGAGAATGTCTCGTCACTCAATCCTCCCTTTGTCCCGTTACACCCGCAACATTTCGTACGATGACATAGGGCCTATGTATCAGCTATTACAAGGTGGGTGCGGTTCCGTCGATGGCTTCAAGGTTTCAACAGTCAGCCACGAAAGAAACGGTGTCGTGGCTACAAACAACCAACCGATTTTACCGCTAAAGTTGACAAATGGAAGTTGTCTTTATGGCGGGGTAGAAATGTCTCTTTTTCGAGGTCGGATGACTTACAGAGATGTCGAGCGCGGCTGTTTCAACTAATGAGGCGGCGAATGCATGCAAGGGCTGATGACATACATGGCGCGCTTGAAGAGAGACGTTTCAGACAAGGGATGCCAAGACGGGCCGTTTTCTATAATTGAATAATTTGTAGTATTTCGGTGAGCTCTGTTTGATAGAAGTTATTCGATAATCAGGTATGAAGTATCCGATCTGTCATGTCTACGGATAGGTAATGTCCGTTCAGTTAATCCAACCCTAATCAGGCAGCTGGTTCTTCAGTCCCGGCAATTCCATCATCGTCAGTATAAACCGAGGAGTTTGTATTATCTCCAGACATATTGACATCATTTCTCTCCGCTATTGAGAAAAGAGAAGAAGCATTACACTGAAATACTGCATAGCAGTTGGTGGTGATGCCGAAAAGCCTCGTTGGTGTGGCGCAAGGCTTTTCGTGCCTGGAGCCACAGTAAGCACAGCCGTGACCTGCGCCTCTGCATGTGTTCCCACTGATGCCAGGGCAGCGACCAAGGTTCCCTCTGGAATGACAGATTCGGCTCTGGTTCTGTGATGGAGAATTGAGTATTTCATCACTTATTTGATCAAATGATTAAGAGTTTTGACGTAACTGTATTCAGGTGCAGACTATTGAAATGCCCCATAGTGGTTGTAATTGGTGGGAACTGTAGCATGGAGCCCTGTAGCACTATCAAACGGCCTGTATTATAGCTGTCTACGGGAATGGCCTCAGCGTCTTAGTTGCAGATTAGATTATCTCCCTCGTCTATCTCCAGATCACAAACGTCAATGCATCGGGAACACGGCACTCAGACCTCCTACGGACATATGCTCCTCTAGCTATCCATTTACAGCACTCACTGTCTCACCCGAACCTCCATTTGTAGCACTCGCAACCTCTTTCCGAACAGGCCTCCTGCGAGCGCTGAGGCGCAGCACCTCTCCCATTCCACAGTCTGCTGCAGGTTATTTGTGGCCCGGCCGGCCTGTTCTGGCGGCCATCTTTTGCTCCCATCACCACTGCCCTCTACTCCATACCTAGCGACCTATGACTCTGGCCTAAGAGGGAGCTGACTTATAAGCTTGCGATTCCTGTATCAACCATCAGCATCATGACAGCCTCGTGAATTATAGCTAAAAGCAGCATCGGAATCACCTCTGATTGCCTTTTTTCCATTTGTTGTTGATTGTGAATCAAAGCCCAACGCAATGAACAATAACGTTGCTTCGCCGTTCAACCTTCAAGTTCCGATATCATCTGCTTCGCCTAGCGGATCAAACAATACCACAACTGGAAGACCACCACTATGGACGCCTTCATCGCGACGAAAAGTCTCGCGACTTTATCTTTATACGACTCTCCCTCTGGAGAAGATTATGGCGGTCGTTCATGCTAAATCCCCCGATACTCCTGCGCCTGGGTACGTATTTCTTGACGTTGCGCTGTGGATATACACTAACAGCTGTATAGTAAAGATTCCGCCCACAAGACTCTCAATGCGATGCTCAACAAACAGCCACGATGGCTTCACCCCAAGACCGAAGATGATATGGTTCGCCGATTAGAAGAGCTGGCTCTTTCTCCTACACGCACCAGCTCAACTCATAATTCCGTTGCATCTCCAACACAAGCTTCTGGACCCATCCCAGCTCTCAACGCTATCCCGACGCCGCATCTTGTTAGAGATCCCGGCACTAGAGTTTCGCTCGAGGTTCCGCCTTTTAACCAATATCCGCAGCAGTTTGTCCCAAATAATGGAACGGCCGCTCAAAGACAGATGCAACAAAATCAGGAGGACAACAGTACGTTTCGGAACTTCTTACAGCGACCTACATTCATGACTACATCGACGGACTGCACGACTGGGAGTTTACGACAAATACTCAATGACTATTCACATCCATATGTCAAGACAGTTAAGCGCCTCATAAAGCGGTATACGGCGCCTCTCAACCGTCGAGGAACAAGTCTATCTCCCATCTCGGATGAGGAACCAAGCGTGGCATCATGGCTCAACGATCGCGACGCACCGATTCATTTGCCCATGGGACCTTACTACCTTCCTGGAAACTTTCTCTGCATCGACGAATTTGCCCAATATACATGTTTTCCACAAGATGAGATTCATCAGAAATTGGCTTGCTTCTGCCGCCCTATCCACGAGATCGAAGAGCCAGCTTGGATCACAGCATATGGTCCTACTCAAACTGGAACCAATGCCTTATCAGCTGCTGTTCATGGTAGTTCATTCGAAGAGCGCGATCAGTTTGGACATACGGCACTTCATCTCATGGCTGCGCGATTCTTGTCGGATTATGTCTTTCAAGCAATCATCTCGGATAAGGCCAACCATGTACTGAATGTGCAGAATACAGCGGGCCAGACACTCCTTCACGTCTTGCACACTACCTGGTTTCAATCTCAAAACCAGGAGTTGCTGAAGCAGTTGTTGGATGCACTCGCTCACAAAGGATTCGACTTCAGTGCGCGCGACTGTTATGGACGCTCATTCTCGCATATTCTCTTATTACGGGACACACCGCCTGAGCTACGAAATTATGCACTGGGACTGTGCAGTGCAACTAGCTATCAGAAGAGGGACGCTTTCAACGTAACACCTACTTATTCAGCCATCCCCGAGCCTGGAATGGGTATCAGCAGAGCGAGCACACAGGCTATGGACGTTGACCCCCCAGTGCCAATGTCTCGACAAGCTAGCATCGCCGACCCTTGGCACTTTGACGATATCCATCAAGAGACGCAACTCCTCAAGTACATCAACGACGCGGAACACAACCTCCGACTTGAAGACAACCAAGGTCGTAATGGACTCCATTGTCTCGCAGCCGCCACACTCAGCGAAACCAGTATCACTCAAAAGTACTACCTCGATGAGAACGGCGCGCCAATCGACCGACGCCGCCGAAGGGACAAGACCACTAAGAACTCGGACTCGTGCACCGATAGATTGCAATTCCGTCTTGTTCTTCTCCAGAACCTCCTCGATGCAGGCGTCGATCCAAACCACTACGACATCCACGGCAATACACCCCTAATGGCATTCGTCGCTCAACTGCCTGAAGATGACGACTACAAGATTGGTCCTGATATCATTCGAGAACTCATCGATTCCGGCGCACAAGTCAACGCTCGAAACCGATCAGGCGAAACAGCACTGCACATCGCTGTTCGCTGCGGTCACAAACTCGCTGTCAAACAGCTTGTTGAGAGCGGCGCATGTGTTCATGTTCGCGATGCAGCGGGCAGAAGTGTGCTAGAAGTCGCAGACGCTAAGATGAAGGGTTTAAGAGGTCACGATGATGCAGAGTATGCGCACCTCGAGGCGTGTAGGGCGTGGTTGAGTGGGATTTCGGGAAGAGCGGTGCAAGAACCAACGGTACTGCAGGAGTGGGAGGTTGTTTTAGGTGATGAGAGTTGAGGAGGTTGATGGCTATATATGTCTATATGGGGTTTGCACTTATGGATGGCGTTGGTATAGAAGCGAATACCCTGGTGTTATATGGCAAAAGAAGGTATAGACTTGCTTTCACTGTACATATAGGGACCTAAGATCTCCTCCACAGAAATAAAGAAAGAAGTAAAAGCGATATTCTTCCGAATTTCATGTAAGATGTTGGTGACAATGCGTTCTGGAGCAGTTACTCTGGCTATCCTCTGAAGTGAAGGCATACGCCACAACAGTGCATCACATGTTTTCAATAGACTGGGAAACCGGGGGAATAGCAACCAGGTACTTTTCAGTATCTCCGGTGAGATTTCTGAGTCCCCTCGTGAACTTGATTCGTGGACTTTGCAGCGCGCTTCGATGATTCCTTCAGGATCATGCATTATACTCTCTAGTCTCAAGAGGGATCTATAAACGCATCGCTGCATCTTTGCCGTCATCCTTCCGTAGATGATACCCTTGCTCTAAAGTCCGAAAGCGAAGGTTGTCTCGACCAATTCGCAATATGATTGGCTTTTCGGACATGTTGGCGAAAAAGCGTCAGCATCGGTCCCCTCTTAAGCCGATGATGGCTGACGCCAGCCGCGATGTACTGCAAAACCCGCACTTCATTATTCGTATCTGCCATAGAATCTCAATGAGATCAATTTCGGACTTTAGAAATGGCCTCTAGAATAAATATTGTGGGAGATTCCCACTTGAATAGACTTATCATCAATACTCACAGTTCAAAACACACACTCAACAATACACTAAACACATCTTGAGCTTTCATCAGCTGTCAATTCAACCATCATGTCTCCTCACACTGCTTCAACCACCACCAACGACCTCGCCAACGAATATGCCGACATTATCAAGGGCAAGACAATCCTCACAACCGGTGTCACGCCCAACAGTCTCGGCGGAACATTCATCCTAGAAAGTGCCTCTAAATCCCCATCGCTTCTCATCCTCGCAGGCCGCAACGCCTCCAAACTCCAAGAAATGTCTGAAGCCATCACCAAGACCAACCCTTCTGTCAAGACCCGCTCTCTTGTGGTAGATCTTGGCTCTTTGGCTTCAGTGCGAAAGGCTGCTGAGGAGGTTAACAGCTGGAGTGATGTGCCTAGCATTGATGTCGTTGTTAACAATGCTGGAGTCATGGCTATTCCATACACCAAGAGTGTGGATGGCTATGAGATGCAGTTTGCTATTTGCCATCTTGGACATTTTCTTTTGACGAACTTGATTATGGATAAGATTCTTGCTTCAGAGTCACCTCGCGTTGTCAACATCTCGAGCAATGGTCACAGTCTCGGCCCTATTCGCTTCGCCGATCCTCACTTTAGTGTAAGTCACCTGGTTTTGCATACTGAACTATACTAACTTCAACAGGACGGCGAGCTTTACGACCAATGGAGTGCCTACGGCCAATCCAAGACTGCAAACATGCTATTCTCTGTATCTCTGGCTCAAAAGCTAGGAAGTCGTGGCCTTCAATCGTACAGTGTTCACCCCGGCCTCATCTTGTCAACTGGCCTCGGCACACATCTCGACTTTGCCAGCATGGACGCTGATCTCGGCACTTTCAGTAAGTCAACTTTTCGCTCTCCCAATTCTCTAGCTAACAAACTTCAGTCAAATCGCACCGCGAACGAGGCAACTCTGAGGGATGGACAGCTATCCCCCCTGTTCCCGTTGAAGTAGGCGCTGCGACGCATGCATTCGCTGCTTTCGACCCCAACATCAAAGGTGAGATATGAGTTCCAACTGGATATGAATAAATACTAATAGCTGATAGCGAGCAACGGTGCTTATCTCTTGGAAGCGAGGGTTGCTGATCCTTTTGTTGATACTGTCAAGGCTTGGGCGCGAGATGCTGTTGAGGCTGAGAAGTTGTGGAGGCTGAGTGAGGAGCTTGTTGGGCAGAAGTTTGGATATTAATCGATGCAGTGTGCTTTTGGCTTGAGGTAATAAAGTAGGAGTTGGATTCAAAACTGCAGGTGCTTAGAATACCTGGTATAATGGGATTATCGTTTTTCACGCTTAATATGTATCATTCGCTCTTTGTCAACTGCATCATTCTCTAAGGCACTTTTGCTTGTGAGATGCATGTTTCTTCAACCTTTAACTAGGTGCCTCTTGGGAGTGGAAGGCTGCAGACAAACTACTTCAATCCTTGGAGTTGCGCAAGCCAGTTGCTTTTTCTTTCTTTCTTTCGTTTTTTTTTGATATTTTCTTTGTTCCTAATCTGAAGCAGGGTTTCTTCTTCTCGGTGGCTATATGGCGTGTCACAAAAAGCCAGCCATGGATCTCATGTCACACGTAGATTGAGATCTGACGTATGACTTTAAAAGTGCAGTAATAATACTTTGCATTAATTGAAGCTGTTTTCTTCATGAAATAGTAAACTAAATGACGTTATAAGCCTCAGTAAATGAAACAACGAATTGTAGGCAATTAAATCGGATTGAGTTCTCACCTGACAGCTTGACATGACCCGTCTAGCCCGTCAAGGTGCGGTGGCATGCGTTGGTTGGCGCATCTTCCGAAGCATTGAATCATCAAGGTAAATGCGGTGAAGCGCTTTACACAAGCCAGCCAAATCACGAGACAAGAGATATCGCAGGACATGCCAAAGCGTAGCCAATGCATTTGAAAACTCAAGCGATATTTAGTAATGATATTTCACATATTGCAGTCCTTCATCCGCTGAAAACTACCTAGCCCAGGCAGACCTGATAGTGCTGCGTTGTGGCGCTGAGCTGCCTGTTTATTAGCGGCTGAACTCTGCAGCACCTTCTCCAACCCAACCCGACGGGAACTGGCAGACTGGCTGTGACTGCCTGCTTCCCCGCCGATCCCGATTACTCACTGGCCACTGATATGAGGCTTCCGCTACTTCTCCAACTTCATTTACTCCATCATTTTTGTTTCTGCAACACCATCGATACTCTGTATCTTCACTTTCTCTTCGCTTCATCCAGCTCCGCCGATCGCTCTTGTTGCGTCGTCTTCGCTCTCTTGATCGTCCGTCTTTCTAATCTACACCCCTCCTTCATGATCGCGAGATAACGATAAGCTCATGGCCCACGGCTATCATGAGTGCTCACGACGTTGATAATGCCCACGATGGCGTCACCATCCAACTTCCCCCGGCATCAAAGGATACAGATCCTTCTACGGAGTCCCTTAAACAATCGATAGAGACTCCTCTCAAGTTCCAAATACCTGAAGATTGCCGCACCTTCACGCCTTTTCCTCGCCTGCCGCCAGAGATACGTGCCCAGATATGGCAAGCTACCCTGGAGACTCCCGGCATGCACTTTCTCAAAATCGACACTGACTGGCACCCGGCAACAGGGCTTGGAAAATGGTGGCTCAAAGAGTCGACGTTCCTCCACGCAAGTGCTCAAGGTCAAGATGGGGATGTTGATTCTATGGCGTTCGAGGTCAGAAGGGAAGCTCGCCCAACTGCAAAGGTGTACGGTACACTGAAGCCTCTCTACCCCACTCCACAAGCCGATATCTCTTATTACACGAATCTCCATCAACAGCTCACCAAACTTTCCGTCACATGCAATGAAGCTGCCGCCGTAGCCAAGTCCCTTACAAATCGGTCTACGACTTTTCGCCTTAACACTGGCCGGATTGTTAGTCTCAACTCCTTCTCGGATGTCATCTATCTCGAATACGTCCCACCTGAAGTCTACGAAGACAGCATACGCTTCAACAAGGTTCTGAACTGCTCAGGGCTCGATCAAATCCGTAAGGTCGCGGTCAGATATTGCCACAAATGGTACGAGCAACAATCGGCCAGGCGATGTCCAAACTGCGGCCTGATCCACAGCACTCCTGATAAAGTCAGGTACCCAAAACACTTGTACAGGTTCTTGGCTCAATATCTCCCCAACCTGGAGCAGTTCTTCTTTGTCGATTACCTCATTCTACGTAAATCCGACCTCAATGCTGCCACAGATCACCACGGGTTCCAGAGAGACTTGAAAGGTAAGCGATAGATGACAGAGGCTTGAGACAACTACTGACCTCATTCGAAGCGAAAACAGGCACATGCAGGTTCGAGGGCGGGAACAGAAGCTATTTCGAAGCGGATACGCAAGATTGGACTATCAGCTCCAGAGTTCTTCAAGTCAAATCTTGGCTACAGGAGAACTTTGTCAAATACGCCAAGTCGAGCAGCCTGAGCACCCACAAGAACCCAGAGCAGGTCGAGTTTAGAGTTCTCGCTTGCGAATGGAATGTTGAACCACCATCAGAACCAAAGAAGGCACTGGCGATACCGGTTAAGAAAGGAAGAAACAAGAGAGCCAATAGCGAGGAGCACACTTTATCAAGGACGAACCGACGAGGATCGACGCCGACGGCATCAAGTCCTGTTGCCGATAGCCTCCCACTCGACCTGGCTATCAAGTTCCCGTTCGTTTTTGACGCAGGGGGCAGCAACAACTTTGAGTTCACCTTTTCTATGTCCCTAAAATGACTTTGCATGGATTTTATTTGGCTTTTGCGAGGAGTTGAGGCTAGGACTGAGATTTGGGCTACAAGAGCCAGCACTATGATGCTACAGAAGGACGACGAAGAAGCACATTAACACCAGAGTGCTCAGCCATGAATTATTGTTACAGAAATTAGATTAACTTAGAGTATAAATTTCCTCGATGAAACGTCACCTTGAATTCGAATTCTACGACTGCGTTTTGCTCCTACGCTACGAAATTGCTCCTGTAACTACTCTTGTTAACTGGATTACAGGGCCAGCTGGAAAGGTTCAGTAAATCCCCATCATGGTGAACTCGTCTAGCATATCCTTTGTTATCCTGTTAATCTCCATCAACTTGCTTGGCCGCGTCGTCCACCCATCCTCCACATCTCCAAGCTCAGTATTCAGCATATCCCGATACCGTTGATTGGTCAACAGACCTGTCCAAGAGCTTTGGCTTGACCAAGCACTGGGGAGTCCCATGAGAAGATTCATCTGACTCATAATGTGGCGCAACATCTCAGAGAAGAGCACGAATTGGGTTGACGGCTCGATCAGAGGTACATCGGCAAACGACATGGGAGCGGCATCGATCAGGTCCTGATGTGGATCTGATATTGAGTTGAATATGATCCTTAGCACAACTTCAAGATGTTTGATGAGTTGTACGTAGCAAGATATTATTAGAAACATCGTGGGCGAATCGAATACTGGGGGAAGCTCGGGTGCAATGCTTCCGGATGTTGGTGTCGCTTCACCCGATGAAGAAGCTATCGACTCAGGAGACTCTGTGTTTGCCGCCAAGGACAGCATCATCCTGTTTGTATGTGGCTTGCGACCTTGGCAATACACAGTACGTGTCCCGAGCTGCCGGTGCAGTGTCTTGAGGACGACAAGGTACTCCTGCGCCGCCTTCAAGACCACCTGGATATTCTGATACCCATTCTGTCTCTCTCGATCCTCACACACAAACGTACTCAACCGAAAGTCATTCTCAAGCTGCGACACGAATTCCCATCCCCGGTGGATATCGACATTAAGTTTCGATAGCTTTTCAAATACCTGCATACTAGGCACTATGATCTTTTGCTCGAGCTCCGGTGGATCAAGCTCTGACACAGAAGGCCACGCATCCATTGGAAACGGGAGACTTTCAGGCGTATACCCGCAAAACGGATCGAGATTCCAAGCCGTGTCGTCCAGTAGCGCTTGAACAAACTGCATATCATCAGCAGGCTTGTGAAGCACCATGTCCTTCTTAGGCGGTCTGCCGACGCGTCGTTGCAGACCAGCCTGACATGTCAGGCCGAGACGGGTGCAGCGGGCGCATGAAGGCGAAGAGAGGGACCGTGAGCAGCGCAGTTTCTGGCGACGGCAGCGCTCGCATGCAGAGCGAATTTGATTCGGGTGCGTGTGCATTGTTTTGGTTTGGTGATGAGTTTTGAGAAAACTGACTGATGAGTGAGACGGACGGAGTTGACGGGGATCGGAGGGTTGATGTGGGGCGACCGGAGGCTTTTGGGGAGTGGAGATGCGGGAGGGACGGGAGGGACGGGAGGGAGGCGGGGCCGGGGGTTTGTAACTTGGGCTGTGATTTGTTCGATTTATAATTAGATGGCGGTTTTGGATGGTGAGTGTTTGAATGTATCACATTATCCGTCATTGAAGGATCTTTGCGTGAGGAAGTTAGTTGACGTGGCAAGGACGGCTGAGGTTTGTTGAGTGTGAGTTGTTGGTAGAATTGAGTTGTGACGGTTGTTCACACGTTTGGGTGCATCATGTCCCGTCGGTGTGAACGTCGGAAGGCCTGGGCTTGAGGGGAAGCTGGTAGAGAGCCTTGACCGTGGTCTGCAAGATTTGTGATCGTCTCAGAGCTGTAAAGCAGTGACTTGTGGTTGTTTGGCTGTATCTCTTTACTTATTGGTCCAAGTGTGTATTCAGAGGTTAGAATTTCGTGAATTGTACCAAGGTTTTAGTATGTCATTTTCCGTCGGTGTACACTTTTGGAAGCCCAGGCATGGGTCGAAGCGGGTAAAGAATCTGGACCATGATATCTGGTATTTGCAGTCGTTTCAAAATGGAAAACAGTGGCTTGTGCCTACTTGACTGCATCTCACTGCTCACCGCTCCATGCGCACAGAGAGATTGGGACGTGGATTTCTCAAAAAGTTGAAGTTTTCGGGTTGTGATGTGATAGATACGATATCAGATCTGATACCTCACGGGAACATGCCTGAGTACACCACAACTCCCGTTAACACAACACTCCGCCACCACGGCAAGGCATGCCACCTCATCAAACACAACTCAGCATGTAGGATACAACAAGTTCTCTCTTTTCTCCTAGCTCATCAAAAACTGATGATGTAATGTAGAGCTCGGACTTGTCACCCAGATATATAACCTCCTCTTCTTCCCAATTTCATTCCTGTTCTTCAATTATCACGCCCCGGGCTTCCCTCGTGGTTGTGCTGGGGCAACCCCTTTGTGACGGTGCTCTGGGTCTCTGACCTTGGTGCTGAGTCTTTTGTTTCTTAGAATGCTTCGACTTCATCTTCGAAGAGGAGGTCAAGTACACGCTGGCTTGACGAAAGACCGTTGCGGAAAGCTTTTAGTCTCTCCAGAGGTCTCCCGAAGGTTTGCTTATCGTTTCTTCCAGTTTTCATCTTTTGACTTAGCAAGACTAGCTCTACCAAGTTGAGTTACCATTATTCTTGAGGGATGGGGTGAGGGGGTTGTTAGTTCAGACCCCGAACACACTTCACGCGCCCATCAACCTCCAAGACATTTTGGTGGCGTGGCATTGGACCATGCCTTGGCATCACCCACCATGGTAAGGTCCAGATGCTTCAAGTCCGACTCTGGTAATGTCACTTGGCTCTACCGTCCTTGAAGTCAGGAGCCCCATGCGTTTCATGCCCCAGACGGATAATCAAGAGACTTTACAAGATGGCAGACCGCCATCGACAGAGTCAATTCGTGGTATTTTACACCTTTTACTCTCTTTTAATCGAAAAATGTCTAACTTCTCTTGGGACCCAGAAGCCTGGCAGACGGAGCTCGGTTTCGTGCTGTCAAGCGTCGAGACGTTTGATGCTTGCCAACGAGCAAGATTGCCCGGGTTGCCAGTGGACAAGGTCGACGCCAAGATCGAGCGGCAGATAAAGGAAGATACTGCCATGACCAGGCCTATCCCTATCCCAGTAGGAACTGGACAAGACAAGAGTAAGAACTCCCCCATCCAAGCCTTGTCTTGTTCTTACTAACAAGTTTGCTTGACAACAGTCTTTAACATATGATAAGTCTTATTGTTGTTGGCCTCAGCGAGAAGCACGATGCCGCAGCTGAACTACCAGCAGTGCGGGCATCACAAACATTTCCTGCAACCAAAATCATGCCCTCACAAAACAACTCACCTACTCGAACATAACTCGAACAAGTGTCTACGTCGAGTGGCTCCTAGCACTGAGTGAAACATAGTCTTGTACTATGTAACTACAACCAGCAGATGATCAAATGGCGTCTGAGTCTTGTCAAGCCTGATTTCAACTCTAAGATCGACAACGTCCCTCTGGCCGGGGGTCTGCAGAGTCTCAACATTCTCACAAACCCAAACTATGACCACTGCTACCGACCCTGAAGATCTATCATGTCTCACCCTTGCTTGGTTGCCTTTATAGGTCTTTGCATTGTTACCAGGCTATGCTGTCCATTGCACGCCCAGAAGATCGCCGCAGTCCTAAGTTTCGTCTATCATCTGAGCAGCCACAAGATGACGTCGACCAGGGTGGCGCTGATGAAGCTTTGCACTGGAACATAGCAAGTCCAGAGTAATGTCTGCCCCACATGTTCATGGCAAATGTGACCCAGACATCATTGTGAGAAGCACCACTGTCCTCAGTATCTGATCCAGGTACCTCGCGGGTATCGACTTGGACACAAAGTCTCGGCAAAGCCAGATCAGCGATCCAGCTTGACCAACTCAAGGAAGAAAGCGGAAGTAGAGCGGGTCAGAAAAGAACGACATATCAACCAGCAGTCGGTTCTGAGCCATTCAAACTTTTCGACAAAGCCCGATCGAGTACGGCATTGGCAACAAACCTGGAAACTCAGGCACGAGAGTAGATAGTATCACCTGGGTGACCTCGAGCGTTGATCAGTCTAGTCTGATGCTGAACCAAAGTCTAAGCCAACACCCTATACAAACCGGCTCAACGGTACTCGGGGGCCGGCTCGGAGCTGCTCTCCCTCATGTCTCCCTTAAGAAAGACACAACCTCAGGCTACCAAGTCCAAGTCTGCGACTCACTGCTTGAGAGATTCAAGGTGATAACCATCGATACATCAAGCACTATGGGTTGGACATCTGATGCCAGCTCAGCTTGTCAAGTCAGCGTCCGTGAACTAGATGAAGCACGCCTTCATCGAATGTGTTACCGGTCCGCCTGTATACTATTATTAACAAGTCGGCATCGCTACGCAGTATCGACAGCCTTCTCTCATTCGGAGTTGTCATCTTTCGGATACAGTCTCTACAGAATTCCCTCGTGGTGGATATCCCAGGAGTTCGGAAAACAGGAAGCTTGAATAGCTTTTCCTTGGCAATCTCCGCTCCGTCTTGGAACTCTTGTCGTTATTTGCTCCTGACGACTTTAAGCCTTGCCAAAATTCGCAAAATGATGGCCAAGTTCTGCAGTTTTCGACAAGAAAAGATCCGAGCTTATTCGGCAAGGAATTGTCCAATACGTAAAGCTTGAAACGGAATGTAAAGCCTTGAAAGAGAGTCTCTCAGAGAGCAAAGACCATGTTCACACGATGATCAAACTTTGGTGCTTAGTGTGACTTTTGTTACCAAGAGCGGGCCGCTTTATATCAGTCAATGCTCCCTTTGTCATTTCGTCCGCCTAATTATTCGAATGGCACCCGTCCTCCTGCTTCCTCGACATTGCCAACTCCGGCGCTCGATACTACTGTTGAATTCCAAAGGCGTGTATCTTTCTAATGCCCTGATAGCAAGTCTCCCGCCCACAAGGCGTTTTTCTTTTATTCTTTGATGGCTTGCTTCCGCCAAGTCTCATATAGTCAAGCTCAGAGCACTCATTATCTTCCGGCCAGAAATGAGTCTGAAGTTCCAGGAAGGAGAATCAAGCTCAAGCTTAGTCGCGGTGCAGCTTACTGGGAAGCTCATGCTTCAGACCAGAACTTCCTTTCCTCACATTCTTTCACATCCTGTTACAATGTGTCTAGACATCTACCACGACTACCAGGAGTGCAGGCACCACAAGTATGTCCGAACCCATACTTGATAGTCGGGTCAGTTCACGAAGACACCGACACCAACGTTAACACCTCATGCCCCCTGCCTCGCAGTACGAGATCTGCTCCTATGTGATACGAAGATGTAAAGTTTCGAAGCATGTCACAGACTCATGCAACAGGAGGGTATCGAGTACAGCAACACGTCAAAACATGTAACTAACCTCCGGACAAGAATACAATGACGATGACGATCAGAATGAATACGAGATCGGAGTCAGACCCCTGAGAATTTCGCGAAGTATAAGCGATACAGGAGAAGGGAAAAAAAGGCGGGGAGAGGATGATGATGTATACACTTCTCAACCGGATGGCCTCGTGAGGTTACCCTTGAAGATTCCTTCCACTCCAGCCATTTATATCAGACAGTAAAGACCTTACCAGGCAGATGCTGTTTATTTGGGGTATGAGCCCAGCCTGTACCGCCATCACAGGAGAAGGAGGCAATAGTCTACCCAAATTCAAGTTCAACACGCTAAGAAAAACATTCGAAAAGGCGTAACTGAAAACATGGAAGTATAAGAAGCCATGTAGACTGAAGTGTTGGAATGATGAGAAAACGACGAACAAGTCCTCGAACGAATCGATGACATTGAGGCTGTGAGAATCTGGGTACTACCTCTGACGGCGCAGGTGTAGAGATCATCATGTCTTCCCCAGTAAACACCTTCTAAGTTGTTACTGCAGGGCGCTCCATCGGTTGCATTTTGGGAAGGCCCTCACAAGGACCCTATCCCTTGTGATCACCCCTGCCTTGCTAGATCGCCTTGGTATCAACTATGAGATCAAGCTAGGTACAGCAGGCAGGGGACTTGGTCCTCACCAACCCCGCATGTATACCACATGGTGGTTTGCACCACGCCCTGACTTGCATGCTCGATGAACTTCAACCTTCCCTCTGAGGAGGTAGCAGCAGCGCTTGAACCTACCCGCGTAACTGAACCTGCCTATCTGTCACCGCGACAACCCTAAACACATCAAGGTGGCGAGGCTCGTACTCAACAGCCTTACATCTATCTCCCCAACGCCTCAGAGAAACAATCTCGGCCACCGTGTTGATAAATTCATTATCAATGCTATCCTCGTTACTGGGTTTTCTGTACTATAGTACGGTCGCTAGAAGTACAAGAATATCCAGGGGCGATTGTGTCAATCGTCGTTTTAGCCATCATCATCGCTATCCGCCCGCATAAGCAGATTTGCAATTTCGCAGTACGGTCAGTGGAAGCAGTGGCATATCGATGGACGCTTTAACAGGTCAAAGGCAGTTTCGGTTATCTTGACGATCTACGACTCCAAAGACCCGAATCTGGCGAACTATATACAGAGCGAATTTCTCCAAGTCTTCAGGCGGGCAAACCTATTGCCTGCCGTACCCAAGCCTGACGGCAAGATCGTTGGGAGATGCTTTGCGCTTGATCGTCCTTCCCTGGGGTATTCCCATATAAGACAGAACCAGCATGCCAGCACTGACTGCAGAACCAGTAAGTTCGGCTAGGCATGTGTTCAAACTGGGGGAAATGCTATCAGCACGGGTTGGGTAGAAATGGAAGCATTTCAAGACGATTGACGACCTTTTCAAGTCTCACGTCGCTTCAGCTGTCATCACCACACGATCTGAGCGACGATGAGGACGATGAGCCTTCACCCGCATAGAAATCAAACACAACCAGGTGATTCAGTATCACCATGCCCAAACTCCACGCAGTATGGAAAGCAGATCAAGTTCAATGGAAAGCACCTCTCAGAGTTATAACCCCAAGTTAACCAGCAAGTCATCACGAAAGGTACACGGGCTTCCTCGCACTTAGCAATGGAGCAATGGCTTCGATTCACTTGGCGGCCTGCGCCACCTCAAAGGCTCTCACCTAATTTCCAAGGCGAAATGGACCGGAGCCAACACAACATTCCCTTGAGTCCACAGGGCTCTGACCTGAACCTAATATAAGCTGAAAAGTTATGTGTCAGATGACTCGTCGAATCAGGCGATCGCCGTATGACAAAAGGCGACGTCATCAACATTCTTGCAGCACGAGAACACCTTGACATCCATGACTTCGAAACAGTCCCCGAGGAAGGCTGCGGATACGCCCCAGAGAGAGACTCTGGCACTACGCCAAAGTTTCTCGAACCCCATTTCACATTGATCAGGAATGAGCGAAGCTGGCCAGAGAGTTGGTTCGATAACGAGCGTGACCTCATCAATGACCTCAAAACCAAGCGACTCAAGAGTCTACTGTCCGTCTGGTGCATCTGATTGGTCTCAGCACGCTCATATGCCACTGCCAGAATCTCAAGACAGACAAGTGGGTGAGAACTATATAATGCCCTAACCCACAAGCTCGCTTACCTCACACCATTGCAAGATCAACCTATCTTCCAACCTCAACATGAACAAGGAGGGGAGGATGTTCTCATGCTGCCACTATCTGAACTTGGCGAGAACTGAACTACTCTGGTAGCGAAGGATGCAGCTCGTGTTTCTCAACAATATTGTCGACACGATTCGAGCTTCTCGGGGCATTGGGTCTCGGAACGATGCGAAAGCTCGCCTATAGTCGCAATACAAAAGCGGTGAAGAAGGAGATTGAAACACTCCAGGCGGCCTTCGTCGAGATCTATAAGTTATACGCCCCCCGAAGTACATCCGCATTGAATTGCTTAGTTTAGTCCAGACTCGAAGAGTTCTCAGGACGAGGATGCTCCGGAGATTGATAGTCTCTACGATGTTGAGGAAGAGGGCCTAGACGAAAACTTTGTATATGGCCGTCTTTCACCTATCCCTACCCCTCGACGGGATTCGAAGACACTATATGAATTGAACGGGTACCTTCCGGATACCGTTTTGTCGGCAACCGTGATGTTGAGTCTCATGCTGATACGCCTGCCAGTGTCACGAATGAGAAATCCCTTGGTTCACCCGGAATGGGCTTGCTTTTCATGAGTCTCTTACGCAGCTGCCTCGATCAACATCAATGTGGCTGCCCCAGGATATGCTCAGTTCGTCAAGAAGCGATGGATGCTGATCCTGACATAGTCACCAAGGCTGTAGCGAAGCAATTTGCTCAACTTGCTGAGGCTGCACTGAAGGAGGCAACCAAGAAGCCGCTCGCCATTGTAATCGATGCATTAGATGAATGCGAAGGTTGTGGGTGTTGAGAATGAGGTTGATGGGTCCGAAGATGAACAATTCAACCCAAGCACCCCCACGTAGCGAAACTTCACCATCAACAAGATGAGAGCCAGGTCACAAGTGAGCCTTCGAAAAGATCATCCCGAGGTCTGTTCATTTGTCAATCAACCTCAATACGACCGGGCTGATGTG